CCATGGTGAGATATAACAATCTCACTTTCTTCTAAGAAAACATTTTTTGATCATTCTTTTAGCAAAATATTTATACAAGCAATACAAATATATATATTACAAATATATATAAATAAATATATATAAACAAATATATATAATATATTATATATAATATATATAAATATATATTTATATATATAAACAAATAAATATATATATAAATATATATATTGCTTTTTGGGTCACACCCAGCGATGCATAGGGTTACTCCTGGCTCTCCACTCAGGGATTACTCCTGGTGGTGCTTGGGGGACCTTATGGGATGCCAGGGATCGAACCAGGGTCGGCCGCATGCAAGGCAAATGCTCTACCCTCTTAAAATAAGTGTTTTCCTGATCCACTATTTAGTTCAAAATAATTTCAGTTAGAAAGCTCTCTCGGCTAAAAGGATTTGGATGGTGGTATAGAGATGGGGATGTTGTGAATATCTAATAGTCCAGAGCTGCTTTCTGTTTTTCCCACTCTGCTTGCTTCTAGTGGTAACTGCAGTCATGCGGTGATCAGGATTGAGTTCTGGAAAAAATTGTTTTGGTTCTACAAAGCATAAAATTGAGAAGGTAGTAGGCAGATGCATATTCCAAAAATATGTATTTTTGGTGACATTTCTGTGTGTGTTTGGACTATACCCATGGATGCTCAGTTCCAGTTCTGTGCACAGAGGTCACCCCTGGCAGTGCTAGGTGACTACGGGGTGCCAGGGATCAAACATGGGCCTACTGCATGCAACGTATATGCTCAGCTCTTTGAGCTATCTCTTCAGCTCCATTTTACTGTTCTTAAAGAATTTTAATTTGAAAATAAATAGAAATTTAAACAAAATTTAATATGAATATTGCTTATATATAAACAGCTGTAGTCTTTCTATAAAGGAAATTATTTTAGAATCCTATATTCCTTTTCCTCAGCACTCTTATAGGCCTTTGGGATATGCTTGATTTTCTTTTTTTTCTTTTTTTTTTTTTGAGAACTCCCCATCCACTTGTTCAATCCCCTGAACTTTATTGTTCTCCTTAATTAATTTTTTTTTACTTTTTTGGGTCATGCCCGGCAAAGCTCAGGGTTTATTCCTGACTTTGCAATCAGGAAGTACTCCTGACAGTGCTTGGGGAACCCTATGGGATGCTGGAGATCGAATCCTGGTGGGCCATGTGCAAGGCAAACATCTTCCCTGCTGTACTATTGCTCTGGCCCCTGATACCCTTAATTTTTTAAATTTAATTTTTATTCTGTGTTTTTTTTGGAACACAGTAACAAGTCTCACAAGACTTGAGATGTTACTGGGCCCACTTGAGCAAATCGATGAACAATGGGAGGACAGTGCTGTAGTGCTACAGTTTTTTGTGGGGTCCCTGCATGGCCTTGTTCAAAAACTATTTCAAGTTCATTGTTTGGCAGGAATCACTCCTGAAGGTACTTGGGGGATCATGTGGTGCTGGGGATCAAACCCTGACCTTCTGCGTGCACTGTTTGCACTCAGCCTCTTGGGTAATCTCTCTTGTCCCTTATTTCATTTCTTTTTCTGTGTTCTCAAACTATTCCCTCTTCTCATTTAGGTGGAGATTTAATTTTATCCTGTTTTAAAAAATACGCACAGTAACAAAATCACAACTGCCTAGTATGAAAGATGTTTCTTTCCCAGGATAAAAGAAATCTTTTTTTTTTTTTTTTTTTGCTTTTTGGTCACACCTGGCAATGGTCAGGGGTTACTCCTGGCTCTGCACTCAGGAATTACTCCTGGCGGTGCTCAGGGGACCATATGGGATGCTTGGAATCGAACCTGGGTTGGCTGCGTGCAAGGCAAACGTCCTACCTGCTGTGCTTTCTCTCTAGCCCCCCCAAAATTTTTTGAAAACCAATAGGCACATAAGGAAAAGGAGAGCGAGAGAGAGCAAGAAGGGAGGCAAAGGAGGGATAGGGAGTGGGTAATTGGGGATGATGGGGAAACAGGGGACATAGGTGGGAAATGTACACTGGTGGAGGGATGGGTACTGGATCATTGTATGGCTGAAACCCAATTATGGACAACTTTGTAATGGTCTATCTCACAGACATTCAATTACAAATTTTTTTTAAAATAGTAATGTGGAGCTCATGTTCACTTCAATCAGCTTACTCAGTGACTGAATAAATAGCATTATTCCTACATTAGCACTGCAGCACTGTCCTCCCATTGTTCATTGATTTTGCTCGAGTGGACCCAGTAACGTCTCCATTGTGAGACTTGTTGTTACTGTGTCTGGCATATCGAATACATCACGGGTAGCTTGCCAGGCTTTGCCATGTGGGCAAGAGACTCTCAGTAACTTGCTGGGCTCTCCAAGAGGAGCAGAGGAATCGAACCCGGGTCGGCTGTGTCAGCCACGTGCAATGCAAATGCCTTAACCGCTGTGCTATCGCTCCAGCCCACTTCTACATTAAAAAAGAAAGACAAAAAAGTTTTGAGCTATTCTTTGTGTATTCACAAAATAAGTGTCGGCAGCTCTCTCTCACTGTTTGTGTTCGGTGGTCTGGGGTCACCTCCGTTCCCAGTCTTACAGCCTTAGTTATATCCCCAAATCATGAGGGGTTGGGGTTGCAATTACACATAGGTGTGGTTATGATCAACAAATGTAAAGTCCTTCCCTCAGGGGAAGCATCTTCTAGGATAAATTTTCATCCAGCAAGGTGATCTTCCTAAGGGCACAATACCATCTAGGGGTGTGTTTCTCCTTTTCTTTGTCCAACAACCATTTAAACATTCATCTTAATTCTACTTCTTAATAATATTAGTCATTTTGTATGGACACAGTAAGAGATATATTAATCTTATAGGGTGGCTCTCCTGGGGACATCTTGTTACAGATCCCAGACTACAGTGCTCAGGCCAGAGAGTCCTTCCTAATCCCAGCAGGGTCCTTGTCCAGTTGTTTCTCTTTGGATCATGACAGAATTTATCCATGACCATGCTCTTAACTTATAGTTAAGTATTATGACATTTGGCTTGCCCCACTTCAATGCCCCGGTAGCTCACAGCTTGCCCTGGGTCTATCCAGTCCCTTTGTCAGGATCCTGCTTTTGGGGTGCTAGGAAGTAAGGGCAACTGAGGCTTAGGTTGAGTATATATGACAGATGGCCAGGAGTAAATATTATTCAGATCAGTTAACTCCCATGTTACAAAAGCATAGCATTAACTGTCTTCCTATGTCTATACAAAAAGGACATTGCTCTGAAGTAAACTATGCAAAGGACATAAGGGAAGGGGAAAAGCAGTATTTCACTTACAAATACAAAATCCAGAGTCCTTAGAAGGATCTGACCTTACAAGTCACAGGGCCTGATTTGGGGATACAGGTGATTAACAGAGGAAGAGAGCACAAAGGAAAAGTTAAAGATAAACACAGAGGAATGGGAGTGCCTCAGGAGCAGTACATTGGGTGTAACCCAATAAACCTAAACTCCTTGGGGCAAGGGAGAAAGGACAAACCAAGGTTAAACCTAAAATGTTTAGAGCTATATTCCAACAATTCTTTCCATCAGAAGTTTCCCACCCTCAATGGGTGACCAACCCCCATCTCCATGCCCTTCCTGTTTCCTGACAGTCACGCCCATGAACTGCCTCTGGGCACCATTAAAGCGCATTAACAGCCATGATTCAGAGACTCACAAATGAATCCCAGAAGAGAACAGCACACAACAGAGATGCCTCCGGACCCCAAATATTGTCACTGTCACTGTCCTCCTGTTCATTGATTTGCTCAAGCGGGCCCAGTAACATTGTGAGACTTGTTACTGTGTCTGGCATATCGAATACGTCACGGGGAGCTTGCCAGGCTTTGCCGTGTGGGCGAGATACTCTTGGTAGCTTGCCGGGCTCTCCGAGAGGGGCGGAGGAATCAAAACCCCAAATATTAAAAAAAAAAATTTAGAATTCCAGGAGAGTGAGGCTGCTTTCATGTCCGCACGACATGTCACACTATTCATAACAAGCAATACAAGATAAATTATTTAGCATCTGTCTTTGGGGCAGGCTTGAGTGGTGGTGGGGAAATTCGAAATAATGGTGGTAGAAAGGTATAAAGATGGAGTGATTGGTGTTGAGATGTTACATGTAAAGAATTACTGTGAACAACTTTATTTAAATAAAATTCAGAAATTAAAATAAAAAGCAATGAATTCACACCTACTTCAATCAGCTTAATTATTGGCTGAATAAAAAGCAGTATTCATATATTTAAAAAAAATCTCTCCCCAGAAACACTAGATTCGTGTTTGATAAAAATAACTGTGTGCTGTAGACTTACCAAAATGACACGGAAAACTGACAAATTCAGGAGGAAACAGTCATGTTTGGTTCATTGTCTGGAGCAGAATGACATGCAGGAAGGAAACCAAATAAATCTGGGGAGTTGAATAAGGTTTCAAGGTCAAGATAATGGAGCTTAGAGGCGGGAGCGATAGCACAGCGGGAGGGCGTTTGCCTTCCAACTGGCAGACCCCGGTTCGATTCCCAACATCCCATATGGCCCCCTGAGCACCGCCAGGAGTAATTCCTGAGTGCAGGGCCAGGAGTAACCCCTGTGCATCGCCGGGTGTGACCCAAAAAGCAAAAAAAAAAAAGAAAAGAAAAAAGCAGCTTTGAATGAGCCTCAAGATTCATCCCCTCCTCCCCCAGCTCTCAAGCATCAGAGAGGCGGGGCACTTCCCGGGAGACTCTGGGGGCGGGCCCTGGAGTGGGGAGCGTGGGAGTGTGGGCGGAGCCTGGGACTCGGCCGCCGCGCGCAGCCTAGGTTCCCGGGCAGGGCGCGTGCACGCGCGCGCCGGCCGGGTACTCGGAGAGGGCGCGTGCGCGCGCGTCGGCCGGGTTCACGGGGAGGGGACGCGCGCGCAGGCGCAGGCGCAGGCGCACTGTCCCTCGGAAGCGCGCACCCGACCCGAGGCCGCGGGCAGGCCGAGCGTGCAGGGGCCGGTTCCCGGGCCAGATGGAGCCGGGAGAGGAGCAGCCCGCGGAGGGCGGATCCCCCGCCGGCTTCCCCGAGCTGGAGCGGCTGAAGGCGGGCGCCGCCGAGTGCATCGACGGCGCGGCTGCGCGTCTGGGCGCCCTGAGCCAGGCGATCTGGAGCCAGCCCGAGCTGGCGTACGAGGAGCACCACGCCCACCGGGTGCTCACGAGCTTCTTCGAGCAGGAGCCGCCGGCCGCCTCGTGGGCCGTGCGGCCGCACTACCTGCTGCCCACCGCCTTCCGCGCCGAGTGGGAGGCGCCGGCGGCCCGCGCGGCCCCGCACCCGCTGCGGCTGGGCTTCCTGTGCGAGTACGACGCGCTGCCCGGCCTCGGCCACGCCTGCGGACACAATCTGATCGCCGAGGTGGGCGCGGCGGCCGCGCTGGGCGTCAAGGGGGCCCTGGAGGCCGGCCCGGGGCCGGCCCCGCCCGTGAAGGTGAGGCGGGGCTCCCCGCGGGGCTTGGCGCTCCGCCCTCTCGTGCCGGTGCACGGGTGGCACCGAGCCGGGAGGCAGAGACCCCACCCCACTCCCGTGCCAGCTTTGCACGGGTGGCATCGAGCTGGGAGGCGCGGGACCCCAGGTGTCAGTCGTGCACGGGTGGCACCGAGCCGGGAGGCAAGGACCCCACCCGCACCCCCGTGCCAGTCTTGTACGGGTGGCACCGAGCTGGGAGACGCGGGACCCCAAGTGTCAGTCGTGCACGAGAGGCTCCGACCCGGAGGCGGGGACCCTCCCCCCCCCCCCGTGTCAGTCGTGCATGGGTGGCACCGAGCCGGGTGGCAGGGTCCTATCCCCCACCACCAGTGTGAGTCGTGCAAGGGTGGCACCGAGCCGGGAGGCACGGGACCCCAAGTGTCAGTCGTGCATGGGTGGCACCAAGCCGGGAAGCAGGAACCCCCCCTTCCCACGCCAGTGATAGTCGTGCACGGTGGCTCTAAGCCGGAAGGCAGGGAACCCCCCAGTGTCAATCATGCACGAATGGCACCGAGCTGGGAGGCAGGGATACAGTCCTCCAGTGCCAGCCTTGCACAGATGGCACCGAACCGGGGGGGGGGGGGGGAGGCATGGGACTCCCCTCCCCCCTTCTCAGTGTCCATTCGTGCACGAATAGTCGTGTCCGAGCGCTCGACACTTGGCCTATTTTTATGCTTCCCATCTCTCCTGTGCTTGTCGGTAGGGGAGTGGACGCTCGTTTTGGGGGGCGGTGGGGGGCGGTTGCAAAGTCTGGTCTTCTCAGACAGCGTTTCGGGGAAGAGATTGGAGGGCCTGAGCCGGTAGCAATCATTGCAGGGAGCGCATAGTCCCGAGCAAGCCCTGGCGTGTGGCCAAGGAGCTGCTGTGGCAGGGTTCTGTGGGGACAGGTGGGGCAGGGACCCCTGGAGTGGTGAGCAGTGCAGGGGGGTGAGGGCGCAGCGCGTTTTCCCTGCACACGCGCCGGTCCTTGAGTGACCCTTTCTTGACTTTCATGAGTTACCCCTGCCCTCTGCTGGATGCAATCTTCTGCCCTTCCGAAGAGAGCGACTAGAATCCGGTGTCTGGTGGTTTTGCACGTGACCTAAGATAGAGTCCTCGCCTTCCAGTTTAAAGGAAGGCAAATGATTTGAGGATCGTTTAGCCCATTTTTCCATTGTTGGTGAGGTGCCTGAGTTGGGAGTTTGTGTGTGTGTGTGTGTGTGACTTTTGCGTTTATTTGGTTTTTTTTTTTTTTGATTGGAGGGGTGGTACATCAGTTGGGAGTATCCTTCATTGCTTGACGCACTTGGAGAGAGCTGTAACCAGGTTTATGACAGGTTCCTCGCAGATTTAAATTTAAGACCTAAAATATAAAGAGATAAGGCTTAAGAGTACTGGGTGGTTTTTAGAGTGTGGGGGAACTTTTAAAGTGGGCAGGATTTTGGGAAACGTATCTGCTTCTAATTTTAAAAGGTAATGCCATTTTTCAGCAAGGTTATCTGCCTTACTGGAAATGGAATTTAATGTTGATTTCCTTTGCCCCAACTTTTTTTTTTTGGCAAGATTTTCAGCTTATCTCTTTGTGTTCTGAAACCTGATCTTGAAAATAGTTACCTATAATTTTTCTTTGCTTTAAAAACATTTTTTAAAAAAGAAGTTATATATCAAAGTTAAATGTTTATTCTGTAAAGTTCTCTTTTGTTTGATTAGGTATTTGATGACCCATAAATCTGCCTGGTTGACTGGTGGAATCGAATTAGTAAGTTTGTGTAACGGTTGGCCATTTTCACCCTGGTACTTAATGCTTTTCACAAAAGATAAGCTAGTTCAGACCTGTTGAGCTCAGTGAGCAGTCAAGTTCCAGCCTGAAGGTCTGGGCACCTAATCCTAGCTTTGCCTCAAGCCTTGCTCTGTGCCCAGCGACCCCCCCCCCCCCCATTATATTCCTGAAACATTTGTAGTAATGGTGTTGTCAGGTGCCCAAATTAAAACAAAACTATACCCAGCTCCCAACCTGAAGTTCAGATACAGCTCTTTGGCCCACCTCTCAGGGTTTTTGTGAGGATAGCTAATAGATAACTGGAAAGTTTCTTCTCTATAAAGCCCTTCTGAATAATCATTTACGTTCACTAGAAAGCTTAGTGGAGAAGAAACTGTCAGAAATAAGTCCTAAAGAATTTTGAGAAAAATGAGTACTGAGGATCTAGACTTTTTTTTTTTAATCCTTGCCATTAGTTAAAGAAAATAGTTATGAAATTAGGGAAAGTTTCCACAGTGGCTTTAGCTCTGCTTTGTACTGAACTGATTTGATAGTACACATTAACCCTTATGACAATTTAGCACCATATATTAATGCCCACTGCCTTAAAGGATTAGAACAAAACCTCCCTCCATATTTTAAAGAATTTAAGGTAGATTGTGATTATCAGGACACCTATTTGATTTTTTTTTTTCCTGCTAGGATTTTTTGCTGTTGTTTTGCTCTGATACAGGTATTTCCTTCTAGGTAATTGTCTTGGGAACCCCTGCAGAAGAAGATGGTGGTGGCAAAATTGATTTAATTGAAGCAGGGGCTTTTAAAAATCTTGATGTTGTTTTTATGGCTCACCCATCCCAAGAGAATGCGGCTTACCTACCTGATGTGGCTGAACATGAGTAAGTAATCAGCTTCTTAACGGAAAATAGGCTATAGAATACTTTTTTGTGTCATAACTGGAGACTGAAACTCCACATTTATAATTGAAAAAGCACACTGTAAGTCAGTGATGTGAGAGATGCCTTGCTTGATTTCCATGAAGTGGCACTTGACAGGACTCATAATTGAGGTTAATTATGGGCTTCCCAATTGGACTGTCAGTCTAACCTCTAGGAGAAGAAAACAGATAGACTGTGTTGACACTTGTGTTCTATTTTGAACGCTAAGTGATATGGCTGCTGGAATCTATCCCTTGATAGAGTGTAGCCTTTTCAGTGGGATAATTGGCGAGAGACAGCTCTGTATGACTTCGAACAAAAAAAAAAAAATGAATTATGTTCCCGAAAAAGAAATGCAGAAACAGTTTAGCTTTTGACTTTAGTGAAATCTACTGATCTGTGCTCCTCTGATTGTCTGGTGGTGAAATCCCTTTGTGTTGAAGAGCTCACTCATTTTTGGTACTTAGGAGGAAGCTCATTGAAGAGGCTCTAAAAAATACCAGAAATTTTGGTCCTGGTTACTATTGGTCTAAGTAGGGGGCATGGGGGGGTGTGAGAGAGAGAGAGAAAGAGAGAGAGAGAGACTTGAATGCAAAAGCGAAACACATGCCCCATTGGCAGTTCTTCAGGGACACTGTCCTCTCTGGTAACTGGGGAGTGACAGAGTGAGCCCAGCAGTGCCATTGGATACTGCCATCACTGCAGCTCTCAGCATCCTGCAAGGTCTGATTTTGGAGTGGGATTATTTTCTTTGTTCTGGGGTCTTCATCCCTTTTTTCTGGTGACAGGGGGACTCCCCAAATAATGCTCTAGGGATCACTCCTGATAACACTTGACTTGCTTGTGCAGCCCTGGGTAATTCTGGATGCTACAGGGCTGCTTTTCTCTCTCTCTCTCTCTCTTTCTCTTTTCTTTTTGGGTCATACCCAGTGATTCTCAGGGGTTTCTCCTGGCTCTGCACTCAGGAATCACTCCTGGCGGTGCTGAGGGGACCATATGGGATGCTGGGGATCGAACCCAGGTTGGCTGTGTACAAGGCAAACACCCTCTCCACTGCGCTATTGCTCCTGCCCACCCCCCTGCTGTTTTTTTTTTTTAAATAGGTGAGTTCTGTGGTGCTTGGGGGCCACCAGGGCTACATAGTAGAGGGCGGGGACTTGTGGTGCTAGGGCTAGAACCCAGGAGCATACAGCGTTTGTCCTTCAACACTTTGAGTGATCTGCCTGGCCTATACTTTATTCTTAGAATTAGCATGTCTTCAAAAATTATTTCTTATCAGTTTATTTAAGCTATTTTTGTTTGTTCATAAGCCATCCTCTGTGGTTTGTTCATAAGCCATACCCTAAGCTGTGCTCAGATCTTACTCCTAGCTTTTTTTTTTAATTTTGGCTTTTTTTAGGTCACACCCTGTAAGAATTACTCCTAGCGGTGCTCAGGGAACAATATGGGATGCTGGGGATCAAACCCTGGTCAACCGAGTAGAAGACAAACACTCAACTCACTGTCCTGTAGCTCTAGCCCCACTCCTGGCTTTTTGTTCAGAAATCACTGCTGACAGGGGTCATAGGACCATACAGGGTACCAGGATTGATCCTGAGTTTGCCACGTATAAGGCAAGCACTCTACTCACTATACTATCACTCTGGCCCCTGTGACCTTTAAACTTTTTTTGGGGGGGATCAGGGAGATAGTATGGGAGTTAAGGTGCTGGCCTTGCATATAGACTGCCTATGGTCATCTAAGTACCACTAGAGGTGACCCTAAATCACCACCACTCTCTAAATGTTCTTTAAAAATATAGTAGTGCTGTGCAGATAACCTGAAATGGAACAATTTATAAAGGTATTTCATAGGTGCTTTGCAACATTAGTAAAATATTGATCAAGAACAACTTATCTTAATGCTAAAGTAGCTTGCATTTTAAATGTAATCTGATTTTCAGAGGTTATCTTTTTCTGTCTTTTTCTGTCTTTTTTCCTCTCTTTTTCACCTTCTGCAGCTTACTATAGAATAATACCGAGATTTTTCTGGACCTCTGATGCAGAACTATCACAGTGCAATGTATGGGAGACAGGAGCCCTTTCTGTAATTCAGTACTTGCTATGTTACTGGATGTTAGACTGAGTTGAATTCTGTTTGAATTTAATGTGGCTGGGGGTTGATTGAACAGAGTTCTCTTTTGGAAATTGAACAGAGTTCTCTTTGGGTCAGTCACTGTGTTATGTAATAATAGCTACAACTGACTCAAAAATAACTCTTAATTGCTCCAGAGGGTTTCTAGATTTAAAAAGTCCGGTAGTGGGAACTTCTTTTGAATAGCGTAGCTGGGTAATTTTTAACTACCTATTAGAATTCTCTTCCTTTAGCAGTGTTGGAAAAATCATTTGCACTGATTTCTCATTTCTCAGTGTGACGGTGAAATTCTATGGAAAAACAGCCCATGCTGCTGCTTATCCCTGGGAAGGAGTGAATGCCTTAGACGCTGCAGTTCTTGCCTACAACAATATATCTGCACTGAGACAGCAGATGAAGCCAACCTGGCGGGCTCATGGTATGGGTGCCAAGCCCCTGTGTAACAGATGGTACTTACTGTGTTTCTAAGCATCACATTTGAACTGTCTTAGGAGTATCCTGAAATGAAAATGGACATTTTCAAATATTCGTCAGTAGGTGACTAGGATATTATCTATAAGGGTGAGATGCTAATCAGGATAATGTAAAAGTTGAAATGGTCATTTTTCTTCCATTTTTTTCTTTTTTGGGGGGTGGAGGGGTTGCATCTCGGAGTGCTGAGGGCTTATTCCTGGCTTTGAACTCAGGGAAGGGATCATTCCTGGCAGTACTTGGAGGACCAGATGGGGTGCGGGGAATCCAACCCAAATTGGCTGCATGCAAGGCAAATGCCTTTCCCAATATACTATCGCGTTAGTATAGTATATCACCTGGAATGGTCATTTTTTCATTTTAAGAATGGCTTCATACTTCCTGTAGGTATTTGAAAGTTAAAACTTGCTTTTCCAGTCTCATTTTCTCAGGGGTTAATAGTTTTTTAAAATTTTCTCAATCAAAAAAGTATTATGAGTATTAAGTTTATTTATGTCAAGTACTGTTGACCCTGTTATATATATATATATAATTTTATATATATAAATTTTATATATATATAATTTTATATATATATATATAAACCCCTGAGCATCACTGGGTGTTACCCAAAACAAAACAAAAGCCTCATGGGGGGAGGGGAAGCATTTATCTGGTAGTACCCAAAGAATATATATATATATATATATATCATGTTTTTTTTTTATTTTGGGTCATACCTGGCAATTCACAGGGGTTATTCCTGGCTCTGCACTCAGGACTCACTCCTGGCGGTGCTTGGGAACCATATGGAATGCTGGGACTCAAACCCGGATCAGCCGCGTGCAAGGCAAACGCCCTACCCGCTGTGCTATCACTCCAGCTTCTGAGTAATATTTTTTAAAATATACATACATAATAAAGTCCTGTCTTGAAAGTGTTTTTAGTTTATTTCTTTGTGATTTGGGAAACAAATTTTTATTTATTTAGGTTTTTGGGTCACACCTGGCAGTGCTCAGGGCTTACTTCTAGCTGAGCACTCAAGAATCACTCCTGGTGGGCTCTGGAGACCATATGGGGTGCCAGAGATTGGACCTGGGTTGGCCACATGCAAAGCAAGTGCCTTGCCCTCTGTACTATTGCTCCAGCCAAATATATATATATATACATATATATATATATTTAATGTTTTTTAGTGAAACACCAGTTGTAGATTTACAAATTTTTGTGCTTGGGTTCAGTTATACAATGATTGAGTACCCATCCCTCCACCAGTGCCCATTTTCCACCACCACTGATCCCAGTATCCCTCGCACCCCTCATCCCCTCCATCCCACCTTGCCTCTGTGACAGGGCATTCCCTTTTGTTACCCAGATGAATGCAATCTTTCTGTCTGTCCCTTTCTTTCTAACTCATTTCTCTTAGCATACTTTCCATGTAGTACCACTTATATGTAAATTTCATGACTTCATCTTTTCTAATAGCTACATAGTACTCCATTGTAGATGTACCAAAGTTTCTTTAACCGGTTATCTGTTCTTGGGCACTCAGGTTTTTTCCAGATTCTGGCTTTTGTAAAGAGTGCTGCAATGAACAAACAAGTGCAGATGTCACTTCGACTATACTTTTTTGCCTCTCTGGGATATATTCCCAGGAGTGGTATTGCTGGGTCAAATGGGAGCTCAATTTCTAATTTTTTGAGAACCGTCCATATTGTTTTCCAAAAGTAGCCCTATATATATATATTTTTTGCTTTTCAGGTCACACCTGGCGATGCTCAGGGGTTACTCCTGGCTTTGCACTCAGGAATCACTCCTGTCAGTGCTCAGGAGACCATATGGGATGCTGGGAATCGAACCCGGGTCGGCTGCGTGTGAGGCAAACGCCCTACCTGCTGTGCTATCACTTCAGCCCCCCAATATATTTTTAATATCTGCTTTTTACCTGGTTTTGCTGCAAGTAAAGAATTTTGCAGTTTCATTATAAATTGAAATCATTTTGTAATGCATTTTTACCAATTTGTTTTCACTTTAAACACTGTGGTTTAAAAAGTTGCTCATGATGATTTATTACAGATATTCAGTATTCCAAGCCCAGTCCTACCACCTCTGTGACCTTCTCTCTACCACTTTCTTAACCACCCTTCAAGCATACCCCATAGTAGGCCCCAAATAATTTATTTTATATTGCTTGTTATAATTTCTTGCCTTTGTTTCTTTAAAAGGACAAAAAAATATGTAGAAATAATACATTTTAAAAGTAGGCTTGTATAAAAACAGATTTCCATTTATTGCCTTAGTTATTACTTGTAAATAGATAGATCCCAATTCTTTGGGTACTACCAGATAAATGCTTCCCCTCCCCCGCCCCCATGAGGCTTTTGTTTTGTTTGGGGTAACACCCAGTGATGCTCAGGGGTTTTCGTGACTCTACTTTCAGGAATTACTCCTGGAGTGCTCGGAGGACCACATGGGATCCTGGGGATTGAACCCGGGTCAGCCACATGCAAGGCAAGCGCCCTCTCTCCTATATTACCTATACCACTAGTCCCCAGATAAATGCTTAAAACATTTTTTTATTATTGTTGTGGTTGGAGAGATATACAGCAGGAAGGGCGTTTGTCTTTGCTTGCAGCTGACCCAGGTTCGATCCCTTGAACACGACTCCATATGGTTCCCCCAAGCCTTTCAGGAGTGGTATCCAAGTGCAGATGGTTATTTTTTTGTTTGGGGGCCATACCTGGTGGTGTTCAGGGCCACTCCCAGCTCTGTGCAGGGGACTTGCTCCTGGCAGTGCCAGGGGAGTGTGCAGCGCTGGAGACTAGGCAAGGGCGTCCCAGGCCAGGGGCACCCACATGCGCTCAGCTCTCTGAGTTGTTTCTCCAGCATCGTAAGTGCGCATTTTTATTTTATTTTATTTTTTGCTTTTTGGGTCACATCCTGCAATGTTCAGGGGTTACTCCTGGCTTTGCACTCAGGAATCACTCCTGGCTTTGCACTCAGGAATCACTCCTGGCTGTGCTCAGGGGACCATATGGGATGCTGAGAATCGAATCTGGGTTAGTCGTGTGCAAGGCGAACACTCTACCCGTGGTGCTATTGCTTCAGCCCCGTAAGTGCGCTATTTTGACAGCTGATTTTGACTGTATTTTCTAGAAAGAGTAAGATACTACCAAGTTTATTTTTTGTAGTTTTATAAAAGTTTGTTTATAATCAGGAATCATAGTTATTGACACATAAATACAGATAGACTGGAGTATACATTCGATTATTTCACTTTTTGTTTATCAGCATGAAAGTACTACCATACATAGAAATATTCATTGAACAACATTGCCAAAGTTTTTGTAATATCTATAAAATCTAACATATATGTATACATACATATACATACATACATACATACACACACACACACACATATGCTTTTTTGGTCACACCTGGCAATGCTTAGAGGTTACTCTTGACTTCACTTAGAAATTACTCCTGGCGGTACTCAGGGGACCATATAAGGATGTTAGGGATTGAATCCAGGTCAGCCACATGCAAGGCAAGTGCCCTACCCACTGTACTATCACTCCAGCCCTTCTTTATGAACATAATTGGCTAGGAAACATGATGGGTGTATTTAAGTTTAAAGAAATTGTTTCCAAATTTCCGATAATTTGGTTCTTTTCTTAGGTATAATAAAAAATGGTGGAGTAAAGCCTAATATCATTCCCTCTTATACGGAATTAATGTATTACTTCCGTGCCCCCTCAATGAGAGAACTTCCAGTTCTGACCAAAAAAGCAGAAGATTGCTTCAGAGCTGCAGCTTTGGCCACAGGGTGCACGGTAAGACTCCTCATCTCTCATCCCTGCAGTTTCCTGAGTGCCAGGACTTGAACCCAGTGCCTGGTTTATTCTCTCTCTGTCTCTCTCTCTCTCTCTCTCTCTCTCTCTGTCTCTCTTCTCTCTCTCTTTCTCTCTTCTCTCTCTCTGTCTCTCTTTCTGTCTCTCTCTCTCCTCTCTTTTCTCTCCTCTCTGTCACTCTTTCTCTCTTTCTGTGTCTTTGTTTTTGGGTCACACCTGGTAATTCTCAGGAATCACTCTTGGCTCTTCACTAAGAAACTCTTGGCAATGCTCAGGGGACCATATGGGGTGCCAGAGATTGACCTGTCTTGGGTGCATGCAAGGCAACCACCCTACTACTATCACTCTGGCCCCTGTACCCCCCAAAATTTTAAAGAATATATCTCAGTTGTAAGCAGAGCTATATATATGGGATGTACACATATATATGTGTATGTGTATATATATGCATATATGTGCGTGCTATGAAATATATTTATATTTGATAGGATATATATATCTACAAATATATACTATCAGATATACTATCAAATATCATTAAAAAAGCATAGATATTTGTTACGTTAGACTGACTTGCTTCTTTTTTTATTTGATAGTCTATTGAATATATAAAATGAGTTGGCTGAGTAGTGTTAAAGCCTTGAATTCACCTTCATTCTGCTGAATGCCTGCGTAGGGCAGATAAGTCATTCAATTCACTGTAATTAGAGTATTTCTGATGCTGCTGACCTCCAGCTCCTGTCCTTTTGTTTGGTTGGTTATATCCTTATTGGCAGGATTGTGTTTATATTTTTAGAATTGTTCTGTATGACTTCTCAGAAGGAAATTTATGACAAAATACAACTTTAGTGATGTTACAGAGATACGTTGGTAGTGATGCAAATGTTTTGCTAGGGATGGACTGGGGATGTAACTTATTCTTGTACCACAAAGAAGAAAAACCAAAAGCAATATGTGGTTTGCTGGAATGGAAGTAAAAAGATGCCAAAGTTATTAAAGAGATTTTATGGAATTCAGTCCTAAAGTCATTTAATGATTGGGTACCTGTCATGTCGGGTATGTAGTGAGATTAGAAGTTTCAGAATTGCATAGACTGAATCTTGTCTGTAGGAAGCTTGTCATTTGGTTGGAGAGACAGGATCTGGCTTTATACCCCTTACCCTTTGGGTTTATAACTTTTAGAAACATCATTTAATGATTCTGGGGCACCATTTTCCCATTTGGAAGAGGAAGATAATAGATGCTCTCAGGATTCTTCTGATAAATGAGATAATGTTAGGGCTTAGTCCTCAGACATAGCATCTTATTTTTTTCTGTCCTGAGACGGGCGTGTAGAATTGATTCCCGAAGGAAGGTTAGCCTTTATTGAATGAAACTTGCTTAGAAAGATGTTAAAGGAGAGGAAGAAAGGAAATACAGGCTCAGGAGGGAACATGGCGTTTCTCCAGAGTGCAAAAAGCTTACAAAGAGACATAGAGACAAGCAAGATACATGTTCAAACAAGAACGTGGGCTTAAGAGCAAACCAGGGATCATAAAATTTATATTAACAATATTTCACAGTAGCAGTGATTTTCCTTTTTGTTTGTTTTGGGTTTTGGCCACACCTGGTGGTACTTAGGGGCTCCGGGTTATGGTGCTCAGTGATCTCGTCTTTTGATTCTTCTGTGGTTCTGGGTTCAAATCTGGGCCTCCTGCATGCAAAATGTGCACTCAGTCTCTTAAGCAGCCTGTCCAGCTCAGTAGCAGTGATTTCCAAAGTTCACATCCAGTGCCCGGAGGGTTTTAAGAAATTAAACATTTCATTTCCTTATTTACAAATGTTAAATAATTATAAAATAAATTTTGAGCTAGTATTGCCTAATACCTTAAAGTATAATATTTGCATAGCTTGCGGGTCATTGTTACTGGACTTAAATCTATATTTTAATTACTCTTTTAATAACTTTTTTTTTACATTTTCTCTTTTGTTCTTTTTTCTTTTTTAGTTGAATCATAATGAGATACACAGCTACAAAGTTGTTCATATTGGGTTTCAGTGATACAATGTTCCAACACCCCTCCCTTCACCAAAGTACATTTCCCGCCTGCATTCCCCAGCGCCCCTCGCCCCCCCCCCCCACACACTGAGTCTGGTCCTTCTCTCTCTCCTCTTTCTCTCTTTCTCTCCCTACCTCTTTCTCCCTTTCTTTTGGGCATTACAGTTTGCAGTACTGATACTGAAAGTTTATCATGTATATCCCTTTACCTACTCTCAATGCTCAGTTCTTGTCCAGAGTGATCATATCTAACTTTTTATACTTTTCATATTCTGACTTAGTATTATCTGATTATCAATGAACATGATTATTTTTTTTAGTGGGATTTGTACCTGATTTTGCATAGGGCTTCCAGCTTTGCTTAGGGATCATTCCTGGTAGGACTTGGGGAACCATCCAGGGGATTGGGAGTTGAATCTGATACAGTCTCATGCAAAGCAAGTACCTTACCTGCTATACTATTGTTCCAGCATCTACTATTTTTAACTTAGATGTTGCTAAGAATAGAAGCAATGTCTTTTTACAATTTTATAATTGACTTTAACTAATATCATTGGTAATTAGTTTCAGAGAATAATTCCTCTCGATTTCATCAAGGTTAAATCTGTAAATCTTAGCGGGCACATATAAACTACTTTTGTTTTTTCATACATTGAAATTAATAATTAAATAAAGACCATGGTAAACTCTTTGCCCTTATAAATCACCTTTCTCTCTAGGGTGTCCTTGTATTTTTCAGATAAATGTCTGTTGTTGGTTTGAATATTAAACATTAGGAAAGCTTAATTTCTTTCATTTAGAGACTGTAGCCTATAGTACTGTTTCATCAGTGTGGTTTTGCTTGCATGTGCCAAATAAATTGGACATTATTCTAGCTTTCTCCACACCCTGTTTAGATGACTGAGTTTAAATTCACCAACTAGTAGAGCTCAGTGACATGGGTGTGATGATGATTATGATATATATACACACAAAGGAGGACCATAGAAATAATACAGTGGGTAGGGTGCTTGCCCTACATGTGGCTGACCTGGGTTCAAGTCCCCACACCATGTTTGGTCCTCTGAACTCAAGAGTGATCCTTAAGTATAGCGCCAGTAATAAGTTTTGAGCATTGTCTGGTTATGGCCCCAAAGCAAAGAAAAATAAAAAATTTAAAGGAGATAGGGTTTTAGAACTCTAATAGAAAATAGAGATATTGTTAAGGTAAAAAAATGAATAGAATTTTTATTTGGAAGGGGGGACTAGGCCTACTTTAAGTGTCTCTCTGTTAAAGAGCTATTACAATCTTAAAAGTTAGTGAATTTGAGTCTTTCATGTCAGATTGTTTTATGTTTTTTTAACTAGGTAGAAATTAAAGGTGAAGCACATGATTATTACAATGTTCTTCCCAACAAGAGCCTTTGGAAAGCCTACATGGAAAATGGAGAAAAGCTCGGAATAGATTTCATTTCAGAAGAGGCAATGTTGAATGGTCCTTCAGGTAATTACATTCTTTCATACATATTGAGCTGTTTGAGAAAGAGAAATAACTTTTTTTTTTGAGTGTCCTTGAAGGCAGGGAGGTGCAATTAATGTTTTCAATTTCTTGTGAATTTAATGGTTAGGGGAAAGACACCAACAGTGGGGGAAAGATAGTACCAGGTGGTTAAATTACAGAATTCAGAAATGGGTGTCTAGAATTAGCAGTTCAGAATTTGGAAGAAGGCATATGTTCGTAGTATGTTAGAATTGGTCTCCTGTGATGTGTAAAGGCTGGAGGGGAGAGTATGGTTACCCATTTGTAGACTTGTATGTAAAGAGAGTTTGTATGACATGATGCAAATATAAACAAAAAAAGAACACTTTGGTAAATGTAGAATGTCAGATGAACAGATTACTTTTTTAGCAATCGTCCACCTTTTCCACATTATATCTATGTCTGGTATTTAAATTTGCTCAGTTCAGTTTTTAATTTTCCAGAATTTTAATTCATTTTGATTACAATAAGTAGGGTACCCAGTATATAATTACATAGGACATTTTTTAGTCTCTGAAAAGTAATGACTATGAGAATGTAATCATAAATGAATTAGAGGTTTTGTAGGATTTTTTTTTTTCCTTTTAAAGGTTTGTTACTGAGCTGGAGAGATACCTGAGTGCCTGATTGCATGTAGGAGGCTGAGTCTAGTCCCTCGCACCAACTGGCACCCCAGGCACTACCAGGAGTGATCCTTGAACATGGAGCTGGGAGTAACCCATAAGCACCACCAGGTGTGGCCCAGACCTCCACTCCCCAAAATAAATAAAGGCATAGGGCCTGAGAGATAGTCCAGCAGGTAGGGCACTTGCCTTACGTTGGCCCACCTGGGTTCAATCCCCAGCATCCTATCTGGAGTGATTCCTGAATGTGGAGCCAGGAGTAATTCCCTGAGCATCACTGGGTATGACTTAAAAAACCATAAATAAATAAAGGCATGTTACTAATATATTTTAATGTTAGGGATATCTCTCTCCAAATACAATAGATTCAAATTGAAAAGAATATGGTGCTATAAATAGAGTTTTTATATTGAGATAAGGAATTTGAAAGAAAAAGCAGAATATGTTGGGTAGATATAAACTATTACATTTGAATCACTTAGAGAATTTCTAAGTAGAGCTCTCTGGCAGCTTATTAAAGATACTCTAGGTTGGAGAGGTAGGGTCTGTTGATGTGTGTAAGGTCATCGGGAATGTGGGTGGTGAGGTTGCCCAGAGCACCAGGAGGGAGAATCCCAGTGGTGAAGCGTCCCCTGCTCTAAGGAGATGGGTGGAAGCAGCAGCCCTGAAACAGTGGTCAGACAGGCAGAGGAGCCTGGGAATTCAAAGGAGTAGGAAATTTCTAGAAGGGAGGGAGCAGGAACCGGCGTTGGCTCCCATGGAGATGGAGTGAGAGACATATGATCTAGTGTAGAAATCCATGGGCTATCTTTTTTATTTTTCCAAGGATCTACTGATTTTGGAAACGTCAGTTTTGTAGTTCCTGGGATTCATCCTTATTTCTCCATTGGATCTAGTGCCTTAAATCACACAGAGCAGTACACTGCAGCTGCAGGTAAGTGATCCTGGGTGCGGCGGTTCTGGCCTGGGCTCTCTTTTGTAGTGGGGGCTCCCTTGTGTTTGGTTGGGTCTGTTATTTCATTGTCTAACATCCCCTCCAAGGACTGTACTCACGCCACTGTAGGGGGCAACTGGAGAAGCAAATTAAACCCGGAAATCGATCAATCGATTCTTAATGATTCACGGTGGATGTATATTTATGTTTTAGGATCGCAGGAAGCCCAGTTCTACACTTTGCGCACAGCCAAGGCCCTGGCAATGACTGCATTGGATGTTATTTTTAAACCAGCATTACTGGAGAGAATCCGAGAAGACTTTAAATTGAAACTTCAAGAAGAGAACTTCTTAACCACAGTGGACTGACGAAAGATTTAGGAACTGCTTCTGGATTAAGTCACAAACCTTTTTGTCCCTCTCATTTTTTTTTTTAAATGAAAGAGGAGGGCATGTGTGTTCTTTTGTCCTAAAGGATCCAGATACTTCACTCTGAGAAGTAACGGCAGGGTGTGGGGAAAGCACATGACCTCATAGACAAAACGAAATTTTCACAAATCTCATTTTGTTGGAGTTGCAATAATTCAGATCAAGCTTATGATGGATTTCTTCTTACCCCCTCTTTCCTCCTGTGCCAGGAATTGAACTCAGGGCATATGCTGGTATTTCTTAACCTGTGGATGCATGGTTCATTATCATAGTGATGATATTTCATAAATCCATGTTTGTATTTCAAAAGAGTCACGCCTTATATTTCAAGCCTTATATTCAGAATTGACACATGGAAAAATACTTTGGCACTGGTGGCAAAATGGTTCTGTGGTTTTAAGATTTGTGTTTTGATTTAGTCCTGATGTTAGGGAAATTTTATTTTAATTACCCGGCTATTTCTATATTGGTCTAGAGCAGCTTTTCTTAACCTTTCATCCGTGGACAGGACCCGGCCTACTAGGTCCACGGATCCAGTACACTGTGGACCTGTGGTTGAAGCCCACTGGTCTAGAGGATCATAAAAGTAGGTTTTGGGGTTTTTTGTTTTTTTTAAATCATACAAGTAGTTTTTCTCTAAATCATAAAAGTAGGCTTTTTTTTATACCTGTGGACAGGATTTTACCTGTTGACCGACACACAGATCTGGTTATAATGTGAATCAGTGGATGAAGCTCACTGGTTTTGAGAATCATAAAAGGAGTTGTTTGGTTTGGTTTGGTTTAGTGTGTGTGTGTGTGTATGTGTGTGTGTATGGGTGGGGAGGGAGGGGGTTAGATATCCAAATTGCTGTAGAAAACTCAAAACTCAAATGTAAAAAAATACTTTAGTTTTAATATTTGAAGGAGTATGAACATGTATTTTTTTTTAAAAAAAAGACATGTTTTTTAACATTTGAAGGAGTGTGAAAGTGTTCTTTAAAAAAATAAAATTAGGTGCCCTTCCCACCCTGCGGAGGCCGAGAGTTGCCCCCCATGAGCGGCTCTCTGGCAAGGCCATGGCCGCAGAGGCACATGAACCTAATTTGGAGCCCAGGAGCCCAGCAGCTTTCGGCAGAAATGTGAATGGACTAGCATTGAACTATGGCGCTTATGCCCCTCCTCCCCCCAGGGAAAGGGTGTCTGTCTCTTCCACCTCCCCCCACCCCCCACCTAGCACGGTGGCCGCTGCCTCAGAGCTTATTGGACAGCCAGGTATGAGCCGGTGGTGATGGGGCAACTGCAGCCTCATGGGATGGGGAGCAGAACTGGCACGACCTGCCCCACCCTGCTGAGGCTGAGAATTGCCCCCCACGAGCGGCTCTCCGGCAAGGCCAAGGCCCCAGAGGCACACAAACCAGTCTCATAACTATGCGGCTTTTGGCAGAAATCCCTCCAGACTTAATTAGTAAAATGTCAGAAATCCAAAATCATATGATCTTCATAACCAGCAATAAAAAGCAAATTATTTCACAATGCCTTTCAACAGGTCTGATTGTTGGGGGGAAATTCCAGATAATGTGTATCTTTTGTCGAAATAATGTAATCAAAGTAGAGAGAGAGTTAAGTGGAAATCATCTGCCTCACAGGCATCCGGAGAGGTGGGATGGGGGGTATATTGGGCTTCTTGGTGGTGGAAAATATGCACTGGTGAAGGGATGGGTGTTTGATCATTGTATGACCGAGACTTAAACCTGAAAGCTTTGTAACTTTTCTCATGGTGATTCAATGAATTAATTTAAAAAATAAAATTAGGATGAACTCTGAGTAGTAGTATTAAAGTTCTGTTTCTAATCTAATATTACATAATGGAGGCGGGGGGAAGGGTTGAACTGGACTCTTCCTGGAAGGTTTTTTGATTAGTTCTAAGTGTTTTAAAAGGACTCTCTGGGAATCAGTGACTCTACCAAGTAAAGCACCATCCTCTGCTCCTGACTCAACTTCTGTCCCAGACCTGGGGCCCTCTGCCAGGAGCCCTGATTAGGCTTCTACTCAGAAATAAGTCTGGATTGGAGCTCAGTCACTTTAGAGGACAGGAAGCTGAGCCTCCTCTACTAATGTGATATTAACTGAAAGTTTTCTTGTGAAGCTTATTTTAGTGTGAATTTCATGAACATAATAAAAAAGTACGATAAAAGAAAAGAACTTGATTTTTGTTTTGAGGTTGTTTTTTCTTTTTCTTTTTTATGGGAACCACCTTCAGAGCCTTTCACATGCCAAGCATGTATCCTGTTGCTGAGACATCCTGGCCCTTAAGCTGTGAGTGTAGTGAAAACTCCCTGTGGTACAGTGGGGCCTCAGCTTTGAGTATAAGCACTTTCCAGAAATGGAGTGGGAGGGAGAGAAAAATGAGCTGTCATCATCTCTGTTTGTGAGTTCACAAAGTAAAACGTGGGGTGCTGCTGCAAAGATGCCGGTGCCCAGAGGTGACCCAGAGCCGCCTCTCCCTCCTCCCACCCCTCCCCTCTCTAACAGAGATGGGGAATCACAGCCTGGTGCTAAAAATGGCCCTTTTAATGCAGAGCTGCTAGCATACTTAAAGAACATCTGAAGGGGGTTTGAGGTAAGGACATAGGTGTGATTGATCATTTATGTAGATAAACATTTGACAGAGGAAATTCTCTTGGGGAGATTAACTCAAGGAGACACTCTGTCTCCCAAGGACATCTGCATTGCTTTTATCTTTCCCTCTAGTTGTATGCTATCAATAGTTGTTTGGATAAACTCAATCAGAGTCAAGGATCCCAACACTTGGTTGTTTGGGCTCTGAGAGCAAGCAAGGCTTTTACCGTAAATCCCAGACTAAGTCCTCAGGCTAGTTCAGCTTTTCCTACCCCATGGGGGTCCTGTGTCTTAATTCATAACAGCTTGCATCAAAACCATGCATTTATGCTTTCTAGAATGTCCCATTTTGATGCCGGGTAGCTTTGCCACTTGCCCTGGGTCCATTCCAGTCCCACTGTGGGACCTCCCTTTTGGGGTGTTAAGAACTACAGCAACTGAAGCCTGAGTCTAGTAATTATGTCTAAGTAATTATGCCCAGGCTGGAATGATAGCACAGTGGTAGGGCGTTTGCCTTGCGTGCAGCCAGCCTGGCTGAGCCAGGTTGGATTCCTCCGCCCCTCTCGGAGATCCCGGCAAGCTACCGAGAGTATCTCGCCCGCACAGCAAAGCCTGGCAAGCCACCCGTGACGTATTCGATATGTGAAACACAGTAACAACAAGTCTCACACTGGAAACGTTACTGGGCCTGCTTGAGCAAATCGATGAACAACAGGAGGACAGTGACAGTGAATTATGCCCAGGAGTAGATATATTTCAGAATCAATTCCCAAATAGTAGGAGCACAGAAATAGAATGGAAGGAAGAGAAAAATGAGCTGTCAGCATCTCTGTTGTTGGTGTCTCTTGGAGTTTTGGAGCCTTAAGTTCCATTTCAAAAGTTATATTATTAGGCTGCTCACTTGTTTGCCTTTTTGAATTCTCTATCTCTTCTGTCTTGAAATTCAAGTTGAAAGAGAGGAGTAGTTTGGGGAAAGGTAGTTGAGAATTTTCTTCTCGCTCGGGTATGCAGCCTGATTTTTTGGGGGTGGGGTGAGAGGTGGAGGGGGGGTCACAGCTGGCAATTGCTCAGGGGTTACTCCTGGCTCTGCACTCAGCAGTTATTCCTGGCAGGACCATATGGGGTGCTGGGGATTGAACCTAGGTTGGCCTTATGCATGGCAAATGCCCTACCTGCTGTACTATCTCTCCAGCTCCATGCATCCTGATTTTAATAAGGCTAGTGTGTTAAAAGGGCTGGAGTGATAGCAGGGCTGAAGCGATAGCACAGTAGATAGGGCATTTGCCTTGCACATGACCAACCCGAGTTCGATTCCTCCATCTCTCTCGGAGAGCCAGGCAAGATACCAAGAGTATCTTGCCCATACGGCAAAGCCTGGCAAGCTACCTGTGACATATTTGATATGCCAAAAACAGTAAAACGTAACAGTAAGACGTTACTGGTGCCCACTCTAGCAAATCAATGAACAGTGGGAGGAGAGTGCTACAGTGCGATGTGTTAAAAACAAAATCTTACATTTTTAAAGGAATGGGGAAACAAAACATCAGATTATATGACTTGAAAACTTAGAATTTGCTAATCTATGTTTTGGACAACATCTATATATAAAATCTGTTTCCACCATATAATTGGATCTCCTAGGGTAAAATTTCAAGTCTCTGAGTTGAAAACATCAAGAAAGTACCTGGAAATGGTAATACCTGGAAATGTTGACTGTTGAATGCATGTATGGTTTTTCTATATCGGAGATCTGATACTTGGAAAGAGTGTTTTTTTCCAGCATTTAGGACATACTGGTATACAGCTGCCTTAAAACTTTTAACCCTGGGTGGCTAGAGAGATAGTATGGTGGATAGGGTGCATGCCTTGCACATGGCTGACCCAGGTTTGATCCACAGTGTCCCGTACGATCCCCCAAGCCCACCAAGGGTGATCCTTGAGCTCAGAGCCAGGAGCAGACCCCCAGAGCACAGCTGGATGTGGTCTTAAATTAAAAAAAAACAAAACAGTTTTCCCTTTAACAATTTGTAGGGTGGGTGGGGCTGGGTATACCAAAAAGCAGCTGTGCCCAGGCATCACTCCTGGTGGGGCTGGCAGTGCTGATGCCATTAACTCTAAACACCTAGTGACCAGAGAGGAATAAGAGTCGGGGAGATGTGGGGGATAGGGTCAAGGGAGTTTTTTCATACAAGAGCGCTTTCTTGAGTATTTCAAGTTTACAAGGATCTCAGCTATGGCTGGAGCAAATGTTGTGTCATTTCTAGGGACACAGTGACACGAGCGGGAATCGTGAGTCAGGTGGGCTGGGAGTTATAGTTAGAGCCATTGCAGGACACAGGAAGTGGTCCTTGGGCTCATGCGGACATGAGGGAGGAACGGGAGCAGAAGAGGTCGGAGCGATCACTAAGCCATCCGGTTCCTGAGATTCAGGGATGCATGTTTGACTCCCAGCTGGCTCATGTTACGAGTGAACAGACTTGGGGGGCCTGGAGCTAGGAAAGGATCCTCATCAGTACCTGTTCACCCCTGACCCAGGTGAGATCCTGCCCCTGGTAGTGCAGACAGGTGTCCTTGAAGATGCAAAGGCTGCCAGCAGGCCACACCTATGTCCACTTGCTCTTTGGGGCCTAGAAAGGAACCCCTGCCACCCTGATCTCAGGGAGCTGTGGATCTGAGCCTGGGACCAGATTTAGCTCTTTTCGGTCCAAAAAAAGATACAAAAGTGGCTCTACCCAAAAACCTAGATTCTTTGTCTCCCTAAAGGAACAACCCTTGAGTACTGAGCTGGGCGTGCTGACAACTACCCTTATGAATAGGTCCCAGAGAGAAGAGAAGTATTAACTGCCAACAATTTTTTTGTTTGTTTTTGGGCCACACCCAAAACCAGAACTTAGTCCTGGCTCTGCACTCAGGAATCACTCCTAGCAGGGCTCAGGGGACCTTATGGGATGCTGGGGATCAAACCCAGATAGGCCACATGCAAGGCAAATGCCCTACCCACTTACTATCACTGTGACCCTGTGAACAATTTTATTTACATGTATGTGCATATATATATATGTGTATATATATATTGCTTTTTGAGGGACCATATGGATGCCAGGGATTAAACCCGGGTTGTCCGTGTGCAAGGCAAACGCCCTACCCGCTGCTTTATTGCTCCAGCCCCTACTTATATATTTTTTCCATTTTGGAGTGACACACTGAACTTACTCCAGGCTCTGCACTCAGGATTCCACCTGGAAGTGCCCAGGCAACCATGTGTGTTGCTGAGGATCAAATAAGGGTCGGCAACATGCAGGGCAAGTGCCTTACCTGCTGTACTATCTCCAGCCATCATCTATACTCTTTATACATTTATATTCTTTTATTCCTAATTCTATGTTTTTTTAAGCTTATATACTTGAGTTTGCAAAAAACAAAACAAAACAAAACAAAAAAAAACCCAAAACCACCCTTTACTTTAATGAGCTTTAATTGGGAAAACTAGGAGAGTGACTTGGAATTAGGATTTGTAGCACAGCAGGTAGGGCGTTTGCCTTGCATGCAGTTGACCCAGGTTCTATTCCTCTGTCCCTCTTGGAGAGCCCGGAAAGCTTCTGAGAGTATCCCGCCCACACGGCAGAGCCTGGCAAGCTCCCCGTAGCATATTTGATATGCCAAAAACAGTAACAAGAAGTCTCACAATGGAGACGTTACTAGTGCCCGCTCAATCAAATCGATGAAAAACAGGAGGACAGTATTACAGTGCTAGAATAAAGTACAACCCTGCTTATGTAGAAATATCATTATATTCTTTAGTATAAAGATTAACCAAATTAAGTCTGGACTGAAAAATAACACTATTGTGTTTCAAAGTCACTTTATTAAAGTGAGTTTCAAACAAATGTGATGTGGGTGAGTTTGGAGAGCTTATTGCTTATAGCTGTAGATATAACTGTTTGGTATTAAGACAACAAATAAAATTAGAACCCATGCCTTTGTATTTGCCAGTGGCCATAGAGAAAATGTGGGTATTTACTGAGTTTGATTGCAGATATTCTGTGCTGTCTTCTGCTTCTTTCTCTTTTTCAGTGTTTTCTTCTTCTTTTTTCTCTTTAGATGTCATGACTGTATCTCTACATTTCTACAAAGTACACGTTACCCCAAATCAGGAATATAGCAAAAATCAGACTTGCCCCAAGTCTTTGCAGAAGAGACACATCACTAAGGATGGAGTTCCCATGAACTAGAACAGGCAGCGGGTGAGATCCAGGAAGTCATGGTTAGCCACCAGGAACACCTCAATGAACACAGTTCTTCTACCTGGTTAGTGCTATGACAAAAGTGATGAAACGCACACATGCACCCTTGTTATCCAACTTTCCTAACTAGAAAGCTTTCCATCCAAGTCAGAAGAGGTTGTACCATTCTAGAGAGTCTTTCTTGCAAAGACGCAAAACCTCATGTACCATTTATGTACATAAAAATAGAAATATTGTTATTGCCAGAATTAAACATGTGGAGAAGCATGTACAAGAGGCTAAAATCCAAAGCATGAAGTTTCATCAACATTGGAGATTTGGGGGACAGAATGGTAAGGTGCTTGCCTTTGCATGGGGCTGACCCAGATTCAGTCCCTGGCATCCTATATGGTCCCCAGATAGATCACCAACAGGAGTGATCCCTGAGCACAAAGCCAGGTGTGGCACCAAAACAAAACAAAAAAGGGAACTGGAAACATTGATGGTGGGAAATGTCCTCTGGTGAAGGGACGGGTGTTGGAACATTGTTTGCTGAAACCCAGTCATGAACAACTTTGTACCTGTGTATCTTACGGAGGTTCAGTGAAAGAAAGGGTGTGTGTGTGGATGGGGGTGTGCGTGTGTGGAGAACTTGACAAGCATGGATTTTCCATGCAAATGAAGTATCTACCAATTCCCCCTTAGCGCAGAGGCTAGAAGGAGGTTCACACATTGGAGGATTCATATGATCTAGCTTTTAGGGTCTAAGAGAGGTTCAACCCAGTGTGTGCCAACACTGATGGTGTACTTAATCCAGGGCACCCCCTCCCCATTAGGATCCATGCTTAATGGCATTATTTCCCTAAAGCATCAAACATACTGCTGCATATGCAATAGTTGACTAACAAGTACGAATAAAACTGGAAGTGTCCCAACAGTGGCTTGGAAAGCTGAAACAGGGTGGATATTTTTCACTTCTCCCGCTCACAACCTTGCATTGTTTTCCATCAGACAGGTGTCTCTATAACATACATACAACCTAAGCATGGAATGTGTGGACTCCAGGGTCTCTAGGAGAAAATAGACCAGTATATTAAATTAAACAAAATGTACATGGCTGGGAAGATGATCCGGGAGTACTTATCAATGGCGTGGGTGTCGATCCTCATGCTCACGTAATTGCTCCTTGAACTTTTCCTCTCCGAGGCCACAGCTGGCGGCACCATCATCCTGTCGGGCTTCTCCCTAGGCTCTGGCATGAAGTTGTCCAGGTCGTCCACCTCCCCATCACTGTAGCCGCCGTCCAGCATGACGGGCCGAGCTTGAGGGAGCCTGCAGGCACAGGGCAGCTGGGGACAGGTACACCCGGGAGCTGAGTGCACCCTCTCCTCTGTGTTTGGCCAGAGCCACCATACAGCAGGCAGGGCACTTGCCTTGTATGTTGAGAGTTCCATCCCTCAACCCCATATGATCCCCCCCTCCCCCGCCCAAGCCCACCAGGAGTGATCCCTAAATGCAAAGCTAGGAGTCAGCAGTGCCAGAGGGTAGATCAAAACGACAGAAAAAAAAAAAAAAGAAGGGGTTGCTGGAGTGATAGTACAGCAGTTAGGACACTTGCCTTGCATGTGGCCCACTTGGGTTTGATTCCCAGCATCCCATATGTTCTTCCTTCCCCCAAACTACTCCCCCCCCCCCCCACCTCCAAGTGTACCAGGAGTTATCTTGAGTGCAGAGGCAGGAGTAACCCCTGAGCAAAGCTGGGTGTGGTTTTCCCACATCCTGCCCTGCACAAAAATAGACACCAATAGACACCGTGTAGAGCATGTGCTTGTTCATGTGTGTGTGTGTATGTGAGAGAGAGACAGACAGACAGACACACAGTCAGACAGCGAGACAGACTTTAAAATTTCAGTCCCTGTAAGGGGTTGGGGTGGGGGAATGAGGGTGGTAAAACCCTGGGATGAGCCTGAAGTACCCAGGTCTCTGAGAAAATAGTGCCTCTTACCACAAATTCAGGAGCATGCCTACCATCAGATCACCAAGAACGGCACCCCTGAGACCATAAATGGGAGCCCCGGGGCAGTGGTCTGCAGATGCTCTGTGCCTGAATTTGTGTATGAGTGCGTGTGTAATGAGGGGGGATTGGGAAAGGTTTGGCATGGTGGGATGTCTACTCCTAGGCAGTCAGAATCTTCTGGGGAAGAGAAGCCTTGGACCGCAAGAGCTTGGAGCAGGGATACCCCAGGAGCGGGATGGGGATGCTGAGGGGTGCTGGAGAATGTCCTGGAATAAAGGTTGTGCTGCTCACCCCCCCTCCTCTGTCCCTCTGCATTGGGATTGTTTCTGATTATCACTGAGCAGTAAGACCTACCAAGATTACAGGGAGTGGGTCTCTTGGTTTGATTGGGCCACACCCAGCAGGGCTTACTCCTGGCTCTGCACTCAAGGATCACTCCTGGTGGGTTCCAAGGACCAAATAAGGTGCCTGGGATCGAACCCAGGTCAGCGGCATGTAAGGCAAATGCCCTTCCTGCTGTACTGTCACTCCAGCCCCCTATACAACTTGACTGAGCAGCTCTTGAATTTGGGTGAATACAGGATCCATCTTTGCACCATATAATGTGGAGCTTGGGGCCCGGAGTAAATTTCACATGGTTTCCATGTGCTATTTTGTTTGCTCTTTTGACCTATCTGACCTGGGTAGCAAAGGGGGTGTCTTCACCCCCACCTTTTTTTCCAGAGGTCTGACCTGCTCTGACTGCGGACATGCCCCAGGCTACAAGCCTGCATAGGGACTTGGGCTCCGGAGAAACGCACCTTGTCTCGACGCTTCCGCTCTTTGCGCTCCTGCACCGTGGTCAGGTAGTTGACGGCCGCGTACTCCAGCACCGAGAGGAACACGAACACGAAGCTGACCCACAGGTAGATGTCCACCGCCTTGATGTAGGACACGCGGGGCATGGAGGCGTTCACGCCCGTGATGATGGTGGACATGGTCAGCACCGTGGTGATACCTGCCACAGGCAGGCTGAGTTCAGTCACTCGGCAGGGTGGAGAGCAGCACCCTGCCTTTCCCTCCATCACACTTCACATTCTCTCTTTCTTCCGTCTAGAGAGAGATCCCCGAGGCTGGAGCGATAGGACAGCGGGGAGGGCGTTTTTGCTTTGCATGGGGTTGACCCAGGTTCAATCCCCAGCATCCCATAGGGTCAACCCTTGAGCATTGCTGGGTGTGAGCCCAAAACAAAACGAAACAAAACAAGGTAAAGGTAAAGGTAAAGGCCCTCCCGTTGATCGTCGATTTGCTCAAGCGGGCCCAGTAATGTCTCCATTGGAACAAAACAAAAAAGTTATAAAAGAAGAAGGAGCTGGAGCACAGCGGGTAGGGCGTTTACCTTGCATGCGGTCAACCCCGGTTCCATTCCCAATATCCCATATGGTCCCCAGGCACCGCCAGGAGTAATTCCTGAGTGCAGAGCCAGGAGTAACCCCTGTGCATCCTGTGTGACCCAAAAGGCAAAAAAAAAAAAAAAAAAAAAAGAAAAAGAAAAGAAGAAGCACATGCAGTCTGCATCCACCAGTTCCTTCTGCCCTGAATGTGTCCATCCTGCTCCTTAGTCTGGCAAGCCTTGGCCTTTCCAGTGCCGTTTGTATGAAGCTGCTCCCCACCTCTACCAATCAGACTCTTTTCCCTCTGGGTACCGTTCCCTCTGGGTATCACCACTGTGCCCGGGTCCTCCTTGGTCCCTCTGTGCAGTGCCCCAGATGGTTCAGCTCTGGGACACTGATTTCCGCTCCATTGTTTAAAGCAGAAGCTGCAACCCCCCCCCCCCCCCCCCCGTTGACTATGTTTTCTTGTGATAAGATTAAAAAAAAGGGGGGGGGTAGGGGATGGGCAAGGGCACCAGGTCTATTGGAGTTTTTTGTCCTTGCTGCTGGGGTGGACACATTCCCTCAATTGGGGCTCAGCAGTGCCCCCTGCTGGAACTGCCTGCACTTTCAGCAGCACCGACAAGAACTCAAAGGACAGCTTTATTTTTGTTTTTACGTTAAAAAAAAATTATCAAGGGCCAGTTTTATTTAGGTAGGAGCCACTTACTGGTGTTCAGGGATTACCGGTGTGCCTCCTAGAAGTGCTTGTGTGTGTGTGTGTGTGTGTGTGTGTGTGTGTGTTTGTGTAGGGGGTTAGTCATCTAGCTCTGAGTATCAAACCCAGAGTCTCATAAATGCTAGACCAGAGTCTAGAGCTTAAATCACTTGATCAGACCCCAAAGGTCAGATTTACCTAGGCTGATATTTGTCTCGTTTACAAGAGACAGGCATTTTCATTTGGTCTGGGGCCACACCTTCTAAAGCTCCAGGGCTGATTCCTGGCTCAGTGATTCCCTCCTGGCTGTGCACAGTGAACCATATACTGTGCCAAGGATCAAGCCTGAATCGGCCACAGGCTATGCAAGTGCTTTAACTCCTCTCCCATCTCTCTGGCCCCAGAAGGCAGTGTTTAAGAGGAGACTGTGTGTTAAGCACAGCAACTGTTGAGATGAGTGTGTATTTAGTAGAGCAACTGTTCAGGCAACAGGACAACTGCTAGAGATGAGGACATCTATCAGTGGCTATTTGCCAGACTTCAAACTCAGCTCGGAATATTTGCTGGTGAACTCAAAGTCATAGGGGACTGGCCCTTTGCCAATCCAGTTTCATTCAGACCGGGGTATGGGGGGGGGGTCACCTCTCCCTTGAAGCCCCTCTTGTCTAGACCAGAGTCTAGAGTACTACTCTTGTCTGAGTAGTGGTGGCATGTGTGATGGAGCAAGTGCAAGATTTAAAGTGGGGAGGAGGGCAAAAAGCCAACAAGGGGAAGTGGGTTCAGTAGCTGCTTTCCGACAAGTAAGCATTAGGATTAGAGGGAAGGCTTGTTCAAAGGCAGGTTCAGAGACAGAGGGATAGTACAGATGTGATAGCCCATGCATTGCCTGTGACTGACCCCAGTTCAATCACCAGCACCGCAAAGTCCTCTGAGCATACAGCTCTGGGACCTTGAACTCAGCATCATCCAGCATCACCCAGCATCACAGAGGTCACCTGGGTAATCCCTGGCATTTTAGGGCCTGACCAGCATTGCACCTTTGGGCCCTTGAATTAAACTACTGGCTTGGTTAGCCTAGAATTGCTGGGATTGGCCACTTCTTCCCCTGAGCACCTTTTGAGAAGACAGTCCTCGATAAAATGCATGTTCTCCAGGGGCTGGTGTTGTGGGCCAAGTGGGAAAGCATGTGTCTTGCATGTATGAGACTCTGGGTTCGAGGTCAGGAACCACGTGTGCCCTTCAAGTACTGCTGAGTATGACCTAACACAATAAGAAAGATGCGTTGTGGAGCATGGCTATGGGCACAGGAGCAGATAAGACCTGATCTTGCAAAGTGGTCCTGAAGAGAGGCCCCGCGGAAGGGAGTATCTGGGCAAGGCTGGCAAGAACAAGGTGTTAGCACCAGGTAACTGACCTTGAGCCTCACTTGACCTCCAAGTCACATGAGCTCAAGACACAAAAACTGTCATGTTTGCTTAGCATGTCATCCTAACTGCAACATCTAACCTTGACTGGCATTGGACCAGGGCAAAGTAGAGCAGAAAAGGTAATAGGCCAATAATGCTAAACTTTGTGATTGACCTTGCTGTAAGCTGAGACCCTCTATAAAATACGTGTGTATTTGGCAATAAAGTGAACAGCCATTGGCTGCTCCAGAGGGTGTTTCTCTACACGTCCATCATCCTTTGCTCCACATCTGCCCAGACCTGGTGCACAATGTGTCCGGGCATCTCGAGAAAATTGTTCCCCAACAATGCATGTTTCTGATCTTCTCAGAGACTCTCATTTTAAAGATGTAAACAGGATCCAAGATTCTTCATCTTCATTGATCCATTTTTAAGTGAGTTGTTTCTTTTGTTTTGTTTTGTTTTTGTTTTAAGAGAAAGTATCAAAGCTACTCTTACAAGTGGGGAGTTGGGGCCCAGGAAGAGCATCTCAGGATTCTTCACTTCTGTTTTGGGACCCCATCTGTCAGTGTTCAGGTTTCTTTCTGGACCTGTGCTCAGGGGACAATGTGAGGTGCCAGGAGATACCAAGACAAGCTCCTTGCCTGCTGTACTAACTAGCTCTCCAGCCTGGATTCTTCACTTCTAACAATTTCCCCCAAACATTCTTTCACAAGGGTCCTTGGGTCACCTTTTGAAAGTCCTTGCTATAGGATATAATTTTCTTTTCTTTTCTTTCTTTTTTTCTTTCTCTTTTTTTCTTTTCAGGCCACACCTGGTGATGCTCAGGGCTGACTCCTGGCTCTGCATTCAGGAATCACTCCTGGTGGTGCTCGGGGGGGACCCTATGGGATGCCTGGGATTGAACCCAGGTTGGCTGCGTGCAAGGCAAATGGCTCCCTGCTGTGCTATCACTCTGGCCCCAGGATATAATTTTCTTATGAAAGTAGACAGAGGAAATACCCACAGACCAGGAAATACCCACAGACCAGGAAATTCGACCCCAGCATGAGACTCCTAACAAGACCAAAGGCAAGCTGTTTGCATGGGCACATGAAGACAGTTCATCTGCTTAGATGGTCCACTCCTCCCTCCTGTACTGGGAGTTGAACCCAGTACCTCACACATGGCAGACACACACTCTACCACTGAGTCATATCTCTACCCCCTACATACCTGTATAGAATTTTGTTTGTTGGTTGGTTATTTTGTTTTGTTTTGGGAACCATACCCAATAGTGTTCTGGGTACTATGTGGAGTTGAGGATAGAGCCCCAAGCTTTCTGAGGGCAAAACATATACTCTGCCCTTTCAGCCTCCAGTAGACAGACTTCTAACAATAGATTTTATTTTTGGAGGGGGCCACAATCAGCTGTACTCAGGGCTGACTCTTGACTCTGTGCTCCAGGAAGTACTCAGGGGACCACATGAAGTGCTGCAGATCAAACTTGGGTTAGCCATGTGCAAGGAAAACATCTTAACCCCTGAACGATCTCTACAGTCCCAATAATGGCATTTTAAACTTGTGAGTCAATAAAGTTTTTTTCAAGTTATCATGTCAACAGAGAGTTAGGACTAATAAGGCTAGTTGAAACCGGGTTCATCTGTTAGAAAGTAATACTTGCATTTCCAGGCTCCTGGGTCAGGCTTGTGCAATGTCCCTTACCTAAGGGCACTCTGGCCGGCACAGCTCTGCGATCGATCCAGAAGGACACCCAGGACAGCATGACCATCAGGGTGGCGGGGAAGTAGGTTTGGAGCAAGAAGAAGAAGATGTGACGACGCAATGTGAAGTTAATGTACAGACGGTTGTACCAGCCTGTGGGGGCACAGGAAGAAAAGAGCTGGCCCCAGAGTCCCTCTGCTCCTTCCCTAAACAGATTTTATCCAGGGGATCCTCCTGGTCTCAGAGCCTAGCAGGAGGGGGAGCTTGTCACCCACATCATGAGGGAGCCTCCGATCTTTGTTTTTCTTTCTTTCTTTCTTTCTTTCTTTCTTTCTTTCTTTCTTTCTTTCTTTTTTGCTTTTGGGTCACATCCGGCAATGCACAGCAGTTACTCCTGGCTCAGGAGTAACTGCTCAGGAATCACTCCTGGCAGTGCTCAGGGGACCATATGGGATGCTGGGAATTGAACCTGGGTCAGCTGCGTGCAAAGTAAATGCCCTACCCGCTGTGTTATCGCTCCAGCCTCCACAAGGACATTTTATTGACACATGCTGCCTCTGTCTTTACTTTTGTTCATCCCTTTGTCCAGGCAGCAGCAGGGATTGAGCAGAGCGACAGGCTAACCCAATGATCTAAGGCTGTGTTCTGGAGCCGCAGAGATAGTACAGTGGGTAGGGTGTTTTGCTTTGCATATGGCTGAGCATCCCGGAGATGGTCCCCCAAGCACCACCAGGAGTAATTCCTGAGTGCAGAGCCAGGAGAAACTCCTGAACATCACTGGGTGTTGCATAAATAAACAAGGCTGTGTCCTAACTCACAGGCAAACCAGCAAAGTGGGAAGTGGCAGACTGTCACCTCCCAGTATCCCTTCTCTCCCCTGTGCGTGGCTGTTGTGAGGAGCAGAGGTTACAGGTCACCTGATTGCTGTGTGAGCATTTAGTTCTGGTGCTTGGGGGGATGCCACTCAGTGGGTGGTGCTGCTTGTGTGCCCTCTGGTTGTGGTGCCCGGGATTCTGTGGCCCCTCCTCACATGCTGGCCAGAGTCTTCACTTTAGCTGTGGGGCTCACACACTCTTATCTTTGGTGCTCCAGAGCCCACGGGCTCCGTGGCAGTACTGGCTATCTCAGAGAACAGAGTCTCTGGGAGCACGTTGGGTGGGTGCACGGGGGTGGCAGCAGGGACTGAGCTCACGGCCTCGACTTGCAGGGCAGGCACCTGGGATCACTGAGTCATCTCTAAGGCGTCGCGAGAAACATAATTGTCGTAGCTGCTTGACTTGTCGTGTTTTGTAACAGTGACCTGCATAGATGGAGCAGCAGGGGACGTAGCATGCTAGGGAGGGTTCCTCAGAAGACAAAGATTCATGGGTGGTGTATGGAGACAATGCACATGTGTGACCAGAGCGATAGTACAGCAGGTAGGGCATTTGCTTTGCACGAAGCTGACCTGTGTTTGATGCCTGGCATACCATATGGTCCGCCAAGTCTTTGAGGAATGATTCCTGAATGCAGGGCCAGGAGTTAACCCTGAACACCACCAGGTGTGGCCCCCAAACCACCCTGCACCCCCAAAAAGATGCTCATGTGGTGTGTTACAGATAAAAAAGAACTGTGCTTAAGAGACTGAAACCCTATCACTCATGCCATTTTTTTTTGTGGTTTTGGGGCCACACTTGGCAGTGATCATGGGGTTACTCCTGGCGTTGCTTAGGGGACCATAAGGGATGCCAGGGATTGAACTTCGGTTGGCAGCATGCAAGGCAAATGCCCTAAATGCTCTTCTATTGCTCTGACTCCTCAGTCATGCACTGTTCTAGCAATGAAAACCACAACTGATTGTTCTTGTTTGGGGACCACTCTGGCACTGCCTCGAAGTGGTGGTGCTTGAAGACACTTGCGCCATCCCACGGATTGAACCCCTGCTTCCTGACTTGCCAAACCTGTGCCCCAGCCCACTGAGCTGTTTCCCCAACCAGCAAGCTGCCACTGATTTGAGAAAACCTGAAGGGTGATGAAGCACACACGTTGATATATGGACACTCGGATGTGGCTTCATTAACACAAAATGCAGCACACCAGTGTCAACGGGTTCCCCTAGCAGGAGGAAAAGGGGTGTTTCAGCAGCACAGCTAGGCTGCCCCCAGGGAGGCCACAGAACCAGGGGCTGGGAAATAGGAGGGCCACAGCCTGTCTGGGCCCCCCTGTTCCAAAGGTGGCAACACAGCCCACAAGAACATAGGCTCTGGTACAGAGGCTCACCAAGAAGGCCTTACTAAAGAGCCACATGAGGACGGAGCCCGAGGGGATGCATTTGGAGCTCAAAGCCCAGAGGGGCTGGGGGAAGCAGAGAGAATAAGAATGGAAGCAACAGTCCAGAAGCTGGAAAGCCGCTTGCTCTGTGTCCTGTGTGGGAGATGCCGGCCACCTCTCCTGTCCTGTGGCCGCCTCAGTGCTTAGCATGAAGTTTCTGCTGCTTGCACTTTTCCTGGTGATTTTTTTCTAAGGTGGGCATCCAAAAGTTGGGGCTCGGGTTCCCATCTCTGGTTTCCAGCATAAGTGGCACGGGCTCGACTGAATTCCCGTGGCTCCTGAAAGAGTCCAGAGAGCGCCCCTCACCCCCACCAGCCCAGCCTGCCCCCGAGCGCCACTGCAGCTCACCTGTACTGCTGTAGAAGGCCAGCTTGGCGGTGGTGTGGAATTTCTGAATGAGGAACTGGGACAGCGAGATCCGCTCATCTGTCTTTAAGGAGTCATTGCCTTTTTTCCAGTACAGCATGAGGTCGTCTTCGGTATAGGCATCTGAAAGGGTGAGGACAGCGCTCCCATCAGCCATCGTCTGTCATTAGTGTTTAGCAGAAGCTGGCTCTGAGCTCCCACACAGATCCCCGGGATTGCTACGACAGAGCCCAAATTACCAGACAAACGGCTGTCTGGGAATGGGGAGACAGCTCAACAGGCTGGAGCACATGATCTGCATGTGGGACCCCCAATTGCTGTACAAGGTCCCATCCCACAGCTCAGTTGCTATCTGTCAGGGACAGATCATCTGAAGGCTCCATGTCTAAAGAGCAGCAAAATTTCATATATGGTGTAATATAATAGAAATTTTAAAATAATAACCTAAACTGGAGAGATAGCACAGCGGTAGGGCGTTTGCCTTGTGCATGGCCAGCCCGACTGAGCCAGGTTCGATTCCTCCGGCCCTCTCAGAGAGCCTGGCAAGCTACTGAGAGTATCATGCCTGCACTTGCCAGACAAAGCCTGGCAAGCTACCCGTGACATATTTGATATGCCAAACACAGTAACAAGTTTCACAATGGAGACATTATTGGTGCCCGCTCGAGCAAATTGATGAACAATGGGAGGACAGTGCTACCGTGCTACAGTGCTAAACTGAGAGTAATTTAATACTTTAGATATGAGGGTATAGGGACCTTCTAGGCAATGCTCAGGGTCTTATTCTCTGCCACATGATTCCAAGCTCAGCCTCATTGGTGCTGGGGCCACCAGGCTACCCCCCTCTGCTGCAATGGGCATGGGGGTGCTGCAGATTGGGCTGAGTTTTTGGCCTGCAAGCCAGGCCTTCAGCCCTTTGAGCCCTATCCTTTTTTGCCCTGCCCTATCCTTTTCTCTATTACTTCAAAGAATGAAGACAGGGAGAGATAGTACAGTGGGTAGAGCACATGCCTTGCTCACGGCCCAGCTGAATTCAATCCCCAGCACCCAATATGGTCTCCTGAACCCCACCAAGAGTGATCAATGAGTGCAGAGCCGGGAGTAAGCCCTAATCACTGCTGACTGTGGCTCCCCAACAAAATTTAAATTACCTCCCCCTAAGGGTCTGGAGTGTGGCCAACTGGATTTGATCCCCAGCACCCCATATGGTCCCCAGGAGTGATTCCTGAGTGCAGAGAAAGAAGTAACCCCTGAATATTGCCAGATTTTATTAATAATAATAAAAATAAAGTTAAATAAAAACCTTTTTTTTTTTTTTTCAGAACTCCCTGATTTCTCTTTCATTCCTGACTTCTAACTTAACTTCCTATGTCCCCTGGGCAAGGCTGCTACTCAGTTGTTTAACCAAGTAGGGCAAGCAACTTACTCTCTTACTGTCTTCCCAGTTGTTTAACCAAGCCTGAATGTGGGCATTGCAGAGTGGGGGTGGGAGGTCTATAGAAGTCGCATCTAAAGCCATATGGCTTTGAGGAAAAGAGAGTATCCAAATCCAGTGATGTGAAAGTCCTTTGTAGCAGAAATCTGAGTTTCCCAGGATAAAATTCCACCTATGGTTGGCTGGGCCAACTGCACCCCGAGTTCCCAGCTGCCCTACCCTCAGGCCCTTCAGATGTCCTACTGCCTCTTCCAGCCCCAAACTCTGGACGCCAGACCTGAGCCCAGCTTCCCACTGCCATTAGCCCTGGCTTACAAGTGTTTTGTTTTCTTTGCTTTGATGCAGGGGATGGAACCCAGGTCTTCCGCATGTCAGGCATGTACTCTGATACCAAGTCACATCCCCAACCTAATATGTGAATTATTTTTTCTGCTCTGATGGTATGAAATCTATATGCATTTGCTAGAAACTATGCTTTGGGTTTTGATTTTGCTCTTTTCCTGGTGATAGTCAGCATGATGCTCTTTCTGATTCAGGGCAGCTGCTCAGCTCACCGTAATTGGGGGGGGGGGGGCAGCCCTCTGGCAGCTGTTTTCAACCTGCTGCATCTTTCACACCCAGCAATCACTTGAGCTCCAGGCTTCACACTTCCTGCAGAACAGCTGTTTCAGTGAATATGTCATCCAGGCTTTCTGCTCCCATTTCCAGCACAGTTGTCAGCAAACAATGGGGTGTAATCAAGCCCTTATCATAAAAATGGGCTTTGTGTGACAGGATCTCTGCCCAAACAAGTTTTCTGAGAACATTTTAGGCATGCAACTCTGAGCTGAGATGTTGGATAGTTAGAGGCATAAGAAGCACTTTTTTAGGACCAGAGAGATATTACAGCAGGGGATTTGCCTTGCATGCGGCCAACCTGGATCCTATCTTTGGAATTCATATAGTCCCTCAAGCCCTACCAGGAGAGATCCCTGACCACAGACCCAGGAATAACCCCTGAGCACTGCCACTGTGGCCGCAGAACCAACAAAACAGAACAAAAAGAGCATTTTCGACAAGATATTTTCCGTTCATGAGGGGTTCACTGCGTTATCCGCATCGCCAGTAGAGGAATATCTACATCTCTCCTTGTGCGTGGTGCAGCTGACCCAACCTGGAAGCAGGAGCATTTCAGGTGGAAGGAGCTTCCGGGGGTGGGGTGGGGGTGCAGGAAAGGGGTTCTGGAGCTCGGGAGTTTGGCCCTGTGAACTCTGTCCTCAGGCTAGCGACAGGGTGGGAGAGAGTGAGCTTCTCCCCAGACTCGGGGTGCAGGGGCAAGGACAGACAGACTGTGCAGCCAAAGAGGTTTGCCATGCCCTCAGTGCTGGGCTCTTCATGCCCCGTCCCTGCCAATACCCCTACCCCTAGCAGTGTCAGGTGTGGGGCCTCATGCCTTGGACTATTGGAGCCGGCAGCCAGGCAACAGCCCACGGGCCCAGTGAGCACCCCCAGTGGGCACGGGCCAGGGACATGGCAGCAGGTCTCTGCAGCTTCAGGCAGGTGGGTCAGGAGGACTGGGTGGGGAGACCAGGTGAAGTCCATTGGAGGAAGCAATGGGCTCTTCTCTAAGCAGAGCCTAGAGAAGCTTGTGGAGGCCCCGAGCGCTAGAGATGTGAGTGGTCAGTCTGGGCTCTACCTTAGCTGTGCTCTTCGCAGGACCCTGGAAACGTTCCACATTTTCGGGCTTTCCTGCAAGTTTTCTAAGGTCCCTGCATTGTGCCAGAATTTCTCAACCGCTATCTCCACTCACAGTGTTTTGTTCACCTTTTCACACCCCGGTAATCACAGCCAAACCTGACTTTCCAGGGAAGCCTTTCTTAAAGGGAATCTCCAGGTGAGCAATAGAAGGTTGGAGAGATACAACAGACAAGAAGGCACTTGCCTGGCATGGGGCCAACCCGGTTCGACGTTCCCCCTCAGTCGCACATACAGTCTCCTGAGCACTGCCAGGGGTCACGCCTGGGCACAGAACCAGTAATAGCCCCTGAGTACTGCTAGGTTGGGTGTTCCCCCATAAGAAACATTAGTAGAACAGGTGAAAATGAGTTCTTTGAATGACCAGTGTGCCTGGGTAGGCAGGACTGGCAGAGATCTACTCTCTGGGGCCTGCTCTAGCCCTCGCCCCAGGCAGCTGCTCTGGAAAAGCGTGAAACCTTCAGGTTCCACAGAAGAGAATGTTTGCTCAAGGGCATTGAAAGGGCCAGTGATGACCATGGAAGGTGTGAGTGCAGCATTGTCATGGGTGGAGAGATAATTCAGATGACTAGACTGGGGCTGATCTCAGGCACTTCCTGTGACCCCCAAGCACTGAGATGGGAATATTTCCCACCAAATTCTGGGTATAGCCTCCAAACAAACAAATAAAAACAACTAAAATGGTCCCAGAGAGACAGTAAGAGAGTAAGTGCTTGCCTTGCATGCAGCCAATCAGAGTTCCATCCCCGGCACCCCCTACGATTCCCCGAGCTGTGCCAGAAGTGAGGATCCCTGAGCGCATAACACAGGAATAGCCCCCGACCACTGCCAAATATGATTCCCCAAACCAAAATAAAAATAACAAAATAAAAGAGAGGGCCAGAGCCAGAGCACAGTGGGCAAGTACCTGGCAACCTGACTCAATCCCTGGTCCCCTCCATGGTCCCCCAAGCAACACCATGAGTGATCCCTCCTGAGTGTGGAGTCAGAAGTAAGTCTTGGGCACTTTCGGGTATGGCTCCCAAACAAACAATAATAGAATAAAAGAGTCATCATGGCCGGTGGTAGGGTACACGCATCACACATGCATGAGGCCTGGGCCCAATCCCCAGCACCACAAAGATAAAAATAAAAATTGACGCACGCACATGAATGAGGAGCACAGGCTGTTTCCTGCACTGGGGGCGGGAGGGGGGGTTGGGATTCCAGGGGCGCTACGTGCTGCTGTCGGGGCTCATGGCTACTCACAGCTTTCGATTTCCAGCGAACAGGTTTGCGTGTCCAGGGGAAACCTGCTGAAGTCCATATTGCACATGGCAGTCACTGTGACCCTGGAGACAGAGGACACAGCCAGTCTTTTAGCATAGCTGCAAAAAGATGAATGGAAAAGCGGAACAGCTCTGAACGCAGACGAACGACTCAATGTCCTTCAAGCTGGCAACCCCCTTCCTGCACTTCCGAGGCTGTGTCAGGATCAGGGCATCCTGGGATCAGCATGGGACAAACACAGTGTGTCCACTCATTCCTATCCCATCTGAGCTCCCGCTCAGGCTGTGTCATGTTGGTGGCTTCTGGGCCTTAAGGCATCTCATAGTCTGCCATGGCTAAAAGGCCTCCGAGAAGGACCAGCCCAAATTGGTGGATCCCCATGACTCACCCTTATGGGAAAGGATATTTCAAGTCCTGTTGCTAGACAGGAAAGAGACAGATTATTTATTAAACCAAGTTCTAAAATGAGCCTAGGGGGTACAGATAGTACAGGAGTGAATGTTCTTGCCTTAGCACATGGCTGATCCCTGTTAGGACCCCGACACCTCACCCAGAAATGATCCTTGAGCACGGAGCCAGGAGTAAGCCCTAGACCCAAGCCTCACCCCATCCCCACCCCCACCCCAAAATCCTACTACTCTAGCAAGAATGCTGTGACCTTAGAAACAAAAGTTGACAAACTCAACATCCTGGGATGATAACTGTGTACAAATGAATGATAGCTATTTAACATAAAGACATGCATAAGTAATTTGAAAATGAACTTAAAAATGCAGATGAGAGATGTGGAAGGAAGTCTTTAAGAAGAAACCATTATGTACCTTGCAGGGAGAGTTTGGGTTGCAGTCTGCAGTGCTCAGGGGTTGCTCTTGGCTCAGTGCATGAGAGTTATGCTTGGCAGTGTTCAGGGCGTTCATGAAGTAATGGGAATGAAACTCCCCCTGACCCCCCACCACACATACAGACACACACACACACACACACACACACACACACACACACACAAAGCCTGCACTCAGCCTCTTGCGCTAGTTCTCCAGTCTCATTTGTTTGACTCTTGATAGTGACATTAGACTTCTTTTAGAGATTTTAATTGAAATATAACATACACACCAAATCCTAAGTCTCAGCTTGAGACACTTCCCCAGTTGTGTTTTCAAGACTAAATAAATTCTTTGAGGGTTTTGCTCATGTTGTTACATCGTTTCCTACTTTACACCTGTTGGAAAGGCTGGAAGATCCTGACTCAAAGACTGGAGGCCAGTGCTGTGTGGCCTTGGTGCTTTTCCTTTGGCACCGTTAGGTCCTCAGGACGGTGAGACAACTTGGGCTCCGTGAGGGGCCGCACCTGAGGCTGTAGAGCACCGTCCCGTCGGGCTGCACCCTCAGCATCACGTTGTCCGTGGTGGTGTCGTGGATGAAGGAGCGCTTGGAGTGCACGAAGAACATGTCGGGCACCCAGATCTTCTTCACCAGCCGCCCGTCGAAGGTCATGCTGAGGTTGCTGGAGCTGGGGAAGGCCAGCCGCTCGTCCTTCCAGTAGTGCCGCAGGTACAGTGTCATGGTGAAGTCCTGGGGGGACAGGGGCCACCCACATCCTGAGTCCCTCACGCTGGGGGCGGGGACCCCACCCACGGGGCTGGGATGGACACTGGGCGGAGTGAGGGTGCTCCCTGGGGTTGGCAGTGGCAGCGGAGGAGGGCCTCAGGTGCCACTGCAGTGGGGAACCCCTGAACCCTGCTCCCGGTCTCCCCCTCCACTGAGAAGAGCTGCTGCAGCAGGGGGGATCTCAGGGCTGCACAGGGACAGGGACAGACACAGGACAGGGACAGACATAGGGACAGGCCTAGCTGCATGTGTGCCAGAGCCTCAGAGTTTCTGACAGCACCTCTTACTCGCCCTGAAAGCAGGTGGGGGCAAGGACAAGGGATCACGCCGCTCTCTGAGTTGGGACCCTCTGATGGTGCAGCCCCCGTCCATTCTGTACCCTCATCTCCTGGTATCACCCCCCACAGGAGCTCCTTGGTGTCCTGGCTCTGACCTGATCTTGGGAACCCAAATGAGAGACAGCCTGAAGAGGTTTCCTACAAGTCAAGGAGCTGTGGAACATTCCATTCTTCTTTTTTTTTTTTCTTTTTGGGTTACACCAGGAGATGCACAGGGGTTACTCCTGGTTCTGCACTCAGCAATTACTCCTGGTGGTGCTGAGGGGACTATATGGGATGCTGGGAATCGAACCCAGGTTGGCTGCAAGCAAGGCAAATGCCCTACCTGCTGTGCTATGGCTCCGGCCCTGAATGTTCCATTCTTGATCTAAACAACACTGCAGCATGGTTTCAAAAAAATACTAGCTACTCCTGCACATATGTACTCAGACCCAGAGCCCATGTGTGCAAGCTTGGACCTGCTCGTTTTGGGAGAGGGGCTGGCTTCCCAAAGTAGCTCAGAGGTCCAAGGGTGGTGGGTACCTCTTGGCAATTCTCAACTAGTGTTGAAACAAGTGTTCTGATGCAAGGGCCCAAGGACACAGTGTTGCGTGGACCTTGTGGTGCTCAGCTTCTCTCAGGCCATTGGCAGTGCTAGGAGCCTCCAGAGCAGCACCTGAGGAGGCTTGGGGGTATATCTCGTGTGGTTCCAAGAGGGCATTTCTGTGTCAAAAGCCGGGACCCAGAGTGGAAAGAATGAGCAGGTCTCTTTGTTCTGGTTCACACTAATTGGGTAGCTTGTGCACATGTTTTGAACTGTCTATACCAGTGATAAAACAACTGTGGGCACCCACTTCTGGTTGGAATCAGAGGCCCTGAATCCAGGGGTGCCAACTCCTGGTCTAGCCCAGGTCCTGTGCACTGTCCCCTTGACCAGCGCCCAATCAGAGGAGCACTCACCATGTCCACCTCTGAAATGCTGTCCAGGCTCTCCACCTGCACGTCCACACCCACGGGAACGGCCGGACCTGGCAGGGCACAACAATATTTACTCTTGGGGTCGGAGAGATAGTGCCTTCTTGACATGAGGCTGATTTGGGTTTGATCCTCGGCATCCCATATGGTTCCCTGAGCACAGTCAGAAGTGATCCCTGAATGCAGAGCCAGGAGTAACCTCTTAGTACTGCTGGGTGTTTCCTAGATCTCAAAATATCAAACAACAGAAAAAAAAAGAGCACTTATTCTCAGCACTGGATCACCGGCTCTTCTAGAAGGCTCAGCTTAAGAAGAATTTCCCAGGGCACAGCAAATCAGACTTGATGTTCCCTCATGCTAAGATATAGTCAAACTAGACGTCAGAGGTTGGCTCCCTGAAGTACTCCAGCATAGGTTAAAATAATAAATATCTTTTGTTCAGGGGCCACATCCAGTGACGTTGGTTTGGGGACTACTCCTGACTCTGTGCTTGGCCATTGCTCCTGGCAGTGCTCAGATGTTGATCCCAGGCCTTCTGCATTCAAATCCTATGCTCAGGCCCTTGCACTGTCTCTCCAGCCCCAGTTATAACAATATTATCTTGGTTTGAGTCACAGCACTAATGGGATTACTCTATAGTATTCCTCTTTATGGTTTTTGTTTGTTTGTTTGTTTTTGTTTTGTTTTGGGGTCACACCCAATGATGCTCAGGGGTTAGTCCTGTCTCTGTACTCAAGAATTACTCCTGGCTATGCTCAGGGAACCATATGGGATGTTGGCTGCATGCAAGGCAAATGCCCTACGTGCTGTACTATCACTCCTGCCCCAGTATTCCTCTTTCGTTATATATGTTCACCTAGGACCTAGGTCAGGCATAAGAAGCTGCCCCTCAACACAGATCACCCATTTTCCTGATCGGATTACCTCCTGGCTTTGTGTCCCTGGAAACCAGTGTTTCTGCATGATCATCAGAAAGGCATTGTTTGGTAAATAGGCACATGGAACCAGTCATGTTCAGGCCCTTACAACTGTCTTCACCACATGATGGAGCAGCCTTGGCAGAAGGTTTTTGTGTGTGCACAAGTGGGCCCAGGTACATGCAGGTGAGCCCACATGCATGTGTACATGTAGGTACTCATGTTCATGTTCATATGTGTGCACATATGCATCTGCCTGTGCACGCATTTGTATGTGTGGTAGGTACATGTGTGCCCAATGTGTATCCACATATATGAGTGCGTGTCTGAGATATACAAGGATGGCCTTGAAAACCTTAGATTTGGGGACATTTCTGGGTCACAAAAACTCAATATTCATAAAGAATAAGCAGGCATTGAGAGGAAATAGATTTTTGCCACTTCCCTTTATGCTCAGGCCCGGAGATGGGCATGGAAGGAACAGAATCTGAAGTGACAGCAGCAGGGCATGGGCCAGAGGAGGCTCCTCTCTAGAACCTAATTACTCTTTGGATCACCCTGGAATAATAAAGGGCCTGAGGATGACTTCTAAAATAAGTGAGTACAATAGCCAGAATCTGGAAACAACTCATGTGCCTGAGAACAGATGAGTGGATATGGTCCATCTACACAATAGAATATTTTATGCAACTATGAGAAAAAATGAAGTCATGAAATTTGCTTATATATGGATGAACATGGAGAATATCATGCTGAGTGAAATGAGAGGGACAGACATAGAATGATTACATTTATTTGTGGCATAGTAAAACACACACACACACACACACACACACACACACACACACACACACACACTAGTATGAGAATAATGCCCAAAGACAATAGAAACGAGGGCCAGGAGGACTCGTCCATGGTAGGAAGCTTGCCACCGAGGGGAAGGGGAGTGCGGTTAGGACAAGTATGACAATGAAAGTTGGAAATGATCACTCTGGACAAGAGCTGAGTGCTGAAAAGAGGTAAAGTGATATACATGATAACCTTTCAGTAACAGTATTGCAAACCACCATGCCTAAAAAAAAATAAAGGAAAATGAGAGAGAAAGGGAGAGAGAAGGGGGAAAGAGAGGAGAGGAGGGGAGTGAGAGAGATGGGGGAGGGAGAGAGAGAGAGGAAGAAAAAAATATCTGTCATAGAGGTAGGCTGTAGGGCGCTGGGCCTGAGGGAAACCGGGGACACTGATGACAGGAATTGTGCACTGGGACAGATGTTGAAACATTGTATGACTGAAAGGAAATTATGAACAACTTTGTAACTATGTATCTCTTGGGGATTCAATAAAAATTAAAAATAAAATAAGTGAGTAAATACATACTTTTGGTTTCTGGTCCACTCTGGGGATCATGCAGATTGAACCCAGACCCTTGAGCTACCTCTCCAGGCCCTTGAATTTATGATTTTTCCCCCCAAGGGTAAAACCTCCATTAAGAACAAAATCTCTTTTTGACACAACAGGGCTGAATTTAAAAAGCTGCAGGCTAAAGTTCAAAGGACTCTGGCATTGATCTGCACTAAGTCATTTTTTTCTCAAGCTATTTTCATTTCCTTGACCCCAGCAGATCATGCTCTGCCCTTGGATCTGTCCAGAGCCGTGTCTGCTCTGCCAGCAACCAGAGAGAATGAACTGAGCCAAGGTTGTTAATTCTGAGCTTTGCAGGATGTGGCTGACCATCCTTGCCTGGCCCTCCCACAGCTACGGTGGCCTCACTGATCCTGAATCATGCTTCTTGGGAACGTTGGCCCAAGGACAACTGTGCAGGCCTGTCTGGGCCATCAACCAGTGGGTGAACCCACAGGACAAGGAGGACCAGGCCAGGTTGAGGGCTGAGCCTTGTCCCGAAAGCACAGCCAGTGCAGACCTGGTCAGAGAGAAGCCAGGCTGACTGGTGGGAGCCCAAGAAGGCAGGCCAGTGGCCAGAGGGTGCTCCTACCTCCAAAGCCAGGTCTCATGCTGAAATCATGGTCGTCTATCCTCAGGAGCTGCTCCGACTTGGTCAGCGGGGACTTGGTGAGGTCTGGGCTCCGCTTCAGAACCGGGCTGTGGAGACGGGGGACACACAACACGGGTTACGTCCTGTAACCAAGAGGGATAGAGCCACATGCTCTCACATTCCATCTGCCTCCAGACTTTTACATGGCCCCTCTTTATTTCTCCAGCTTTTTGGGTACGCTAAGCCAGCAGGGCCAAAAGGCAATGGTTTAGAAGCATGATTAGGGGTTGAAGACTAAGTACAGCAGGTAAGGCAAGTCCCCACCCAGGTTTGAACCCCAGCATCCCATACGGTTCTCCAAGCACTGCCATGGGTAAAGAGCCAGGAGCCAGGAGCCAGGAGACTGAGTACCACTGGGTGTGACCCAAAACCTAAAAAAGAAAAAAAAGAAAAAGAAAGAAAGAAAGAAAGAAAGAAAGAGAGGAAGGGAGGGAGGGAGGGAGGATGAGGAAGGAAGGAAGGAAGGAAGGAAGGAAGGAAGGAAGGAAGGAAGGAAGGAAGGAAAGAATCACAATTAGAGGCCTTTAAACAGACCAGTTCCAGGGCTGGAGCTGGGATAGCAGTTAGGGTGCATCCTGGCACCACATGGTACCCCCAAGCAAGCAGGGTGTGACCCTAGATGTTCCCAGCACTTCTGGGGTGTCTTTGACACTGCGGGCCTGAACAATCTCATATCATTGAGTTGCTGTATTGAAATCATAGCAGGTTGTCCAAGAGTCACTGATGGGGGTCCCCAGACCTCCTGAGCACCACCCGGAAGCCCTCTGCATCCATCTCTGTGTGGATCCTGCCCCCCCTGCCCCCAAACAATCTAAGGTCCCTTGAAATCAGGATTTGGGCAGTCTGGGAATGGGAGTGATTTGGAAGCCACCTCCAGTGGTGTTCAGGGTTGCTCTTAGCCCTGCTCAGAAGACCATGAGGTATACTAACATCAGACCTGGGCTGCCTGTAGGCAAATCCTGAGCTCCAGCCCATTGATCTCTCTCCTGCCCTAGACTGTGTTTTAAAATATTTGCTAGGGGATCTGCAGAGATAGTACAGTAAGGAGGGCGTTTGCCTTGCATACAGTGGACCCAAGTTTGATCCCCAGCACCACATGGGGACTTTCGAGCACCACTGGGAGTAATTTCTGAGTACAGAGCCAGGAGTAACCCCTGAGCATCACCAAGTGTTCCCCCCACCCTCAATCCAAAAAAGCTTTCTAAATGAGTTTCATGTGTGACTGAGGCTAAGAACCGCTGGTTTTGGCCTTAATAGTTAATCTACCCCCTCCCCCGCAAAGTACCTGGATTATTTGTGGGTGTTATTGCTGAATGGAGGAGTTGGTGAGAAAGCCTCACCTCTGCTGTCTGTCCTGGAGATGGAGGGCAGAATTGCCCTTGGGAAATGCAGTCATTCTGGTCCTCGGAGAGAATTGCTTGTATTCGTGATTCTGAATTATCCCCAGGGCCATCTTAAACTTATTTTTATTTTTTTTCTAAATAAGGGATGTATTTAGGAATCTTTATGTTCAAGGGGAAGTTTATGCCCATCAATATAACTTTTTGTTTAAATTTATGTTGGTGAGAGGAGCACAGAAGTGTCAGCTGAGATTACAGAATGCAGAGGGGATGCTGTGACCCCAGGGACACAGTTTCTAATTTTTTGGACCTTTCCCTTCCCACCTTTAATATTAGAGAATATCTGTGGTTCTTGACATTTTCACATGCTATAAAAATCACCGGACAATCTGTATGAAGTAAACTGTCGGCCCCTTGAAGAAAGAAATGAGGTCTGTTTTAGCCCAAGCATGGTACCTAGCATCTTGACAATAGCCAATGCATACTTGTTGAATTAAGTACAAGAATAGCAAGGGTAAGAGTGGGCACCTTGATTTGTGCCCAACTTTTCTTATGTATCTTCCATGTATCAAATATCTTACTTGAACCCATTGAGACAAGGCTAAGATTTTGGTAAAACCCTTGTTATAGAATGATTTGTAACCCATTCCTTCCCCCAAATTCATATATGTATGTGGGAACCTCATCTCCAACTATGACTATATTTGGAAATATAGGCGAGTATATGAGTCTGGACCCTGATCCATCAACAGGTTGGTGTCCTTATAGGAAGAGAAAGAACCCCCAGAGGACCACTTCTTAGACTGTTTCACGTTTGTCAAAAGCACACAGGGAAGGACACATGGGGAAAAAGCAAGAAGGTAGTCAAGTGTGAGCGTGGAAGAGAGTTTTTGCCAGAAAAAAAACCCTCTCAATACCTTCCTTATGGACTTCCAGTCTCCAGAAATGTGAAAAAATTAATACCTGCCATTTAAGACACCCAGGGTGTGGCATGATGTTATGGCAGCCTGAGCAGATAAAAACAGTCCTCAAGAGGCTAATGGTTTTGAGAGAGATGAGGGGGAAAATGAGAATAAGTGCTGAATGATTGTCTGCCGAGGTGGGATAGGGGAGGGTCCGTGAATACTCAGAAACAAGGGACCAAACTGAGGAGTCTTCAGAGGAAGTGAGGAAGGGAGGGACAAGGAAATCTGCTCAGAGAAGGTGATAACTCTGCGAAATATTAGAAGAGGAGAAGAGAGGAGGGTACTGTGAGCCTGGGGAGCAGTGTCAGCAGAGACCTCAGGAAACGAAAAGGATGATAGGTTGTGGGAAGACAGCAATAAGAAGCACAGCATGGAGATTCGAAAGTTCCAATGGGAAGCAGAGGGCTGGGCCTGGGCCTGCTGCATGCGGACTATAGGTACTAGCCCTTTGAGTTACCTCCCCAGCTCCATAAAATGAAAAAAAAATTTAAGTAAAACTTCAAAATAAAATCTATGCTATTGGGGCTGGAGCAATAGCACAGCGGGTAGGGTGTTTGCCTTGCATGTGGCCAACCCAGGTTCGATTTCCAGCATCCGAATATGGTCCCCTGAGCACCGCCAGGAGTAATTCCTGAGTGCAGAGCTAGGAGTAACCCCTGAGCATCGCTGGGTGTAACCCAAAAGCAAATAAATAAATAAATAAATAAATAAATAAAATCTATGCTATTCTCAGGGACTTGTCATCACTAATTGGTCTCCACTCAAATTCTGGTTGGGAGAGGCTGAGTTTTGGGTGACAGCCAGTGAGTTTCGTTCTTGTTGCCTTTGCTCTTCATAGACACAGTTGGTTTAACTCATCCCTATGGCTACTCTGGTCCACAGATTCCACTGTTTCCCCACCCACTGTCTGTCTCTGACAGTCAGGGGACAGATATTGTGTGTATAGCCGACTCCCAGAGAGCTGAGGACTAACGGGGACTCTGGGCTAGTCCAACTGCGTGTTTGTGAAGCTGCCAAAAATAGCTTGAATCTTTCACCAAGACTCACAGCTGGAGCCCGAATATGAAAGATTCTCCAGGTTGGGGGTGAGGGTACATAATTATGCACATGGATGCCTTTCACAGCCCCAAACTTCCAAAAGACCCTTCCCTAGTCACGGATATTTCTGTTCTCTATTCATTTCACATCCCAAGCTTTCAAAAAGGCTGAAGTTCTATTCGAAATCGAGAGTGGAGAAGGCCTGACCTGCCTCCACCTTCTGCAGACAGAGCTGGGTGAAGACAGGTGCAAATATTCTTCTTACTGAAGGGTGTTGGGCCAGCAGAGGAGCGCTCACACATGTGCATTTCCGTCACAGCCATAAGCATTGCCTGGTGAAGCCAGTGCCCAAACAACTTTCTGGCAGAGACATGAGTGCTTTAGTGTGAGGGTGGGTGTGTTTGCTTAGTAGCAAACCGGAGACTCCATCTCGAGCCTCACATAGTTTCTTCTGGAAACCTCTCCTCCGCCTTATCTCTGCCCTTATCTCTGTGTGTTTGATGTCAAACCAAACACAGGGCAATAGGGCCTCTTAGAATACTTTGGGGCTTATGTGTCGCCAGACTTCTCTCTCCCTCAGAGAACAGTCAGCACAAACCCTCTGGAGGGATGCTTCAAAGTCACCCGGAGCAGGAGGATGGTCTGACCAGTCACCAGCCACAAACACTTCCTCCAAGGACTACTCACCACTGACGCCAGCCTGGATGACCTGAGACAGAGTGGGTCTTCCTCTTTCTCTCATAATCAAGGCATTTCTTTCACCAGATTCCACAGCCAGACCTATATAACCCCCTAACCCCAACGTAAACCAAGGAAGATGGCTTTGGAGGGATGTGAGTTGGCCCTCTTCTCAATTGCTCACCCATGAATAATCTTTTTTCTCTCACCAACCCTTGTTTCTCTGAGTGGCGAGCTCTGCATCTTGAGAGAGTAACACAGCCAGGGCGATCAGTAGCATGTTGGTAACCTTTGGGCAGCTGATCCGTTCCTGCACACCCACCCTGACTCCCAATTTACCCATTGGGATTAATTGAATAACTTGGAAAAAAGCCTGTTTTGTTTTCTTTTAAAATATTTTAAAGAAACCCACAAATCTATGAGAAATAATGAGAAGAGAACCACTCTCACTGATTAGAGTTCACAGTAATCACTTGAGAAGTTATAAATTTGCTCGAATCTAGGAACTAGATGTTAAATAATTGCTGAAAACAAAAGAAACCCAAAACGTACACACATTCTTTTTCTTTTTCAAGAATCTACCTTTCAGCCAGGACAATTCGCAAGACTAAGACTATGCGAAGATAGCACTCTACCTAATCTAGCATCTTTTCAAAAGAAAACATAATTAAATGAGAGGACAGAGGAGAACAAAGGAAAATGGAGGGACAAGATAGCAACATACAAGATAGGATTCTGAAATAACAGTCCAAGCGTGCTTCGCATCCCCCTCTTTCTCTAAATCCTCTGTGTTCAGGAATCACTCACCGGCCTTTCTTAGACATCTCGTAGACTCCTCTTCCTGGCCTGGGCTCTCTGCCTTCAGTGGCCAAAACACAACCCCAATACAACCAAAAAATACCAGTTTTCATATTCTGGACTGTCAATAGCCGTCTCCAAGCCCGAACAGTTCTTGCAAGAAATAGCAAAAAGACCGAAAGATTTTCTTTTTCTCTAACACATTATTGGTCTGTTCATTATTAGAAG